CAAAGCAGGCGTTTTGTCTACTTTTCCCCATGTGGCTGTCCCCGCAATATTTCTACCCGCACTTTCGTCAGAGCTACTGTCACTTTCACTTTCACTGTCTGTGGCCACAATTTTTTGTTCACCCCTGCCATACTCACTATCAGATTGTGAGTCGCTATCACTAGCAGACTCACAAGGGATGTCAGATATTTCTTGTTCTCCGGGAAAACCCTTGGACCTCATCCTCTTCCGACCTTTATCCATTTTGCACTAATAACTTCCCATCTGGTGCATGCAGCTGGAAGATGAACAAAGGCATTTTCTTTTGGAGTGAGAAAGGAAAAGAGTTGGGTCATAAACAGCAGGATCATGTTACTGACTACAAAGCAAACATTAAAGAGGTCTATCACGCACCAGTCATGCATCTGCCTGGCGCCAGTGCAAGGTATAGTGTGTTTCAACATAACGTGTCCTAAAGTCATAATAATATGCCACCGGTCCGCCACGTTTAAAAGCGCTGGGCATAAAAATATGCCACCGGTCCGCCACGTTTAAAAGCGCTGGGCATAAAAATATGCCACCAGTCCGCAAAGTGTTAACAAATATGTACATGTCATGGCTGTTAAAGTGACATACGAGTGTTAGGGTTTGAGTTTTTGGATGCAATTCAAATCCTCATTCCCAGTCTTTTTTAATTTCTGAAGTTGTGTGTTATTCCATGTTTAAAGCTTTAGATATTATATACTGTGATAATGACAAAGACAACGTCTACATCCCATGTGAAGAACACTCTTATGCCAAATTACACACATGCTTTCATGACTAAACAGACAAGTGTTCTTTTTAATTAAATTACTCCAAGACACCAGTGACAGGGTTAATAATAAATTTTTCTACTTAATCTGTTATTATAGACAACCCATTCTGAGTGGTGTTACCGCAAACCACCATACCAGAGAAACTATGAATGATTAAAGGGTGATTTCACAGTGAAACCACAATTCTAGAAATATCTGACATGCTCAGAAGCCACCATGTAATTCAGACGGCAGGTGTGTATACCTACATTTCATCTTAAAAACATATCACTGTGTATATTATAAAATAAAATGCAGTGATAAAAAACATCAATGAATATATCCAATTAAGATAAGGAAGTCATACATGAGATGCGGGGATATCTGCGTATTATTACTAGGGACCGGATTTTAATGCAAATGCATATTTCTTTCTTGCAACCAGAAATTACTTCATTTCTTAAATTCTGGACATGGTTTGATGGTGCATATAAATGCATATTTTGCCTGTTTTATCAGTAAGCATCATATTTTCGAAGATCTCTATTTATACTGCATATTTCCTTTTTAAAATGTTTATCATGTATATTTTTTAATTTTATGTTCACATTTTCAATCATAGTCGTGTGTATACAATTTTTCTTTTCCGTATTAGAATATGTTGCATATTTGACACAACATTTCGTCATGATTCATGTTTCTGATGCAATACCAAGGACGGGACTTAACCGATCCCTCTACTCGTAACTTGCCTCATCCGCGTAGAGATTAGTCGCAAGCGTTCACATGTAGCCGCTATCAACGTAATACTATTCAACCGATAAGGGACTTCACTTATTTATTTCCAAAGTCTCGATGTGGTTAGTTACACTTCTTCATTTGAAGAAGGGGGCCATCACATTAGTGGTGACTAGTCTGTAGTTAAGTTTGTTTAGCTTTCTGTAGTCATGCTGAAAGTGAAAATAAGTCAGAAAACTAAATTACAGCTGTATCAGCAGGAGTTTGAAGGAGAGATGATAAGTACGGATAACAAAATTCTTTATTGCCGAGCATGTGAGAAAACAGCTGGTTGTGAAAAATGCTTTCAAGTGCTTCAGAATTTGAACACTAATATAAACAAAGAGAATATTAAAATTAAATCCACAAAAAGTGCTCCTGTTCAAAAACTGCTTAGTGAATTTTCTAATGACAGTTTTTCACAGTTTTCCTTTGATTTCTGCGAAGCCTAGTGACAGATATTCTGCTGTGGAAACTAACCAATCCTACTCTGCATGCAGGGGCGTGAAGCTGCCCACTCACCTCCAACTAGTGTCTAGGCTAAGAAAATATGGATCTGTAGATCTACTCTCCCATATACATTCATGGTGTAGTGCTTAATCACTTAAGCACAGGGATAACTTTATCTTACCAGACTTCTTATCCAAGAAGTTTAGAGTCTGAACTGAGCCTGATTTATGGTCTAAGTCTTCACATGTACTTAAAATAAAATTTATCAAATCATCATTCATAATTCCACTTCCAAAGCAGGCGGCCCCATTTGATCTATATTCTTGACTTCCTACTGGTCTTTTTTTTTTCTCTTGGCGCTACAGCCCCAGTGGGCCTAGGCCTACCTGCATGGACTTCTCCATTCACTTCGGTTTTTCTAGATATTACACATTCAGTAGGACTCCTTGGGCGGGTGATCACCTCGTCGCAAGCTAGTCTTTTAGATGTCTTTAATAAGAAAATGGGGGTAAAAATGACTTAATTATGGAGAAACGAATGTACACACACACACACACACACAAAAAAAGGGGAGGCTTGAACTGAGGAGGGTTATGTGCCATTCAGGTTAAGCAAACCAAGTGGCCAATCATTGCCATTAACATGCCAGTTTTAAAAACATTGAGATTTCTGCCTCTAACCAATCTCTGGGAACCAGGTAAGAGGTCCAACATCTGTGCCATTTGTTTGGGATTTTGTTGTTTCTAATTAAGGAGCTGTTAAGAGTTTCAGCTCCATGTAGATGGGATATTAAAACTGAAGCCATAAATGTCAATCTGTGATTATAAGACTGTTAATATGTATACTCTGTACATAGACAGGCTGTCCAAGAAAAATGTTGTAGTGTAACAACAGCAAGCAAAACTGTTACTACAGAAATGTTTTTCTTACTGGAAACGTTCAAAATATTGGCTATTCATGTCCAAACACCACCTACACTTTTGTAACATTACTCTAGGATACTGATTGCTCATGATAGTGTGACATGTTGCGCAACGGAGAATCCCTCCCCCCTCTGCATGGTAACGTAATGACGGCGTGAGGTAACAGCGTGGCCACGTAACAGGCCCACACAGCCCCTATATAAGAGAGCTGCGCTGCCTGCGAAGGGAGTTAGTTGTAATGTGACAGTCGCCGAGTTAAGTAGTAGTCGAGCGAGTGTGTTATCAACAGTTCTCAAGGCAGCTACCTACGAGTTAGTTCCGAGAGAGTTCTGAGTTAGCCAGCAACCAGTCAGTTGCATTCTGGCATTTGGAGTGTAGTATTTGTGATACTGCAGATAGCAGTAATTGTGAATCTGTAATTTGGGTGATTGTTAGTGCGAATGTGAAATAAAATTCGCTATATCAAATACGGCGTGAAGTTATTTGTCGCGTTATACGCCCAGTACGTGACAATATGTTTTGGGAGAGGAATGTGGTGTAGTAACAGCACTGACAGCAGCAGTCAGACCACAATACAGTTCATTCGCTTGTGTGCACCAATGTTATGTTATTAGACTGTTTTCAAACTTGTTTCAATAAATATGTGAATTCCCATTGCTTATTGCTTACTGCTTACTCTGATGCTTACAAATTTCCAAAAACCCCAAGAATCAACTGTCTTCTGGGATGTGACACCGTTTAGTCTGGTACAAGTTTGCCAACATTTTGTAGAACATATTCCTCGATCTTCAGGGTCAAGCAAGACAAGCACACAGTAACATTGCTGCTTTCAACCTGAGGGATTTTCCTCTGAAATATCAGTAAACATGTACCAGACTATGCAGTCACATCCAGAAGATAGTATTCTTAGTAGTCACTGCCACAAAAGCCTCAAATCCAATACAGTAAACCCTCGCTAATCCACAGTAACGGGGGGGAAAGTCATCCAGATTAGTGAAGCAAAAGGTAGTCCTCAAAGACAAGAAAACTTAGAACACAAATAAATGGAAAATTTAATGATATAAGTAGTGGTGATGAAAACAAATATAAAATATCACTGCAGAGCCTTTTCTTAAAAACTATAAAAAAGACAATACGTTTATTAATCGATAGAAGACTCAGAAGTTGTGCTTGTTTTTGAACGTAATAATGCAGGTTTGAAGAAACTGTCAAGTTTTGTCTGAACAGATTCATCTGCCTTCCTAAACGCCATGTGCCTTTTAAAGTATGTCCTCAAATGTGAACAGAATTTTCATATTTTGATCTATATTATCTCTGACACCTGGATTAACTGTAAACCAGATTAAAGAGAGAGTTTACTGTATAAAAATACACTTAACAGAACTAGTGGAATGTCTAAGATGAAGGATTTTGTGGATCACAATATTATCTCTTCCCCAAAAGAATTTTAAAATTATAAAATTTTTGAGGTTTTCAGGGCAGTGATTGTTCACATTGTGGTCTCCTGGGCTTTGACATTGTGTGCTCTTGTAAGTGGATACCAACATATCAATGGTAAGCATACTCTCACATGCTTACTAAAAGACATGCATTGAATCTGTGTTGAATGCCATTAGTATTAATTGAAACAACAGTAAGTATAGCTTTTGTTTTTAATGAAGCAAAGGCACCACATTAATTGTACTTCACATTTAACCTTACAATGCATATTGGTTACTATATGTACCACCTACATCAACATTACAAATCTCTGAATTTTTGCCACACAGTGGTTCTGTGTTGTTCATATGATTTTCATAATAAACAGTGATATCCCTGAACAGCAGTAACTGGTTGGTCTTTTCTCCGACATAGGAACTGAATTTTTAAGTATTATTTAAATGAATTTCAGGTTTCAAAGACTGAAAAGAGTAGTTTCTGAATAAAGCTTGATGCTGAAGTGGTATATATTTGTAGTAACATCTTCTGGGCTGCGATGCTGTCTCATCCGGTAGAAGTTTACTAACAATTTGGAGGAACACAGACAAATTTCCACCAAATCACATTGCATCATATCCCAGAAGATAATACGTCTTCACAGTCATTGCAGTGAGAACCTCAGATGTTACATTTGTATAATTATTTGCATATCTAGTTTCATCTTTGGGTCTTATTTTTGTCCTGGACCAAATCCATCACAGTGCATATTGCCCTTACCTAAGTGTGACATCACTCATAACAGGCAGCTGCGATGTGCTCATCATGATTGCTCTTGCCTCTTCTTATCAGCTTTCTTTTTCCGTCTCCTTTTTATTCTCAGCTTCTCCTCTTCTTCCTCCACTTCATCAGGATCTTTACCTTCCAGAATGAGATCTTTCCTTTTATTGATAAGCTTCTTCTCATAGAAGTTTGTTTCATCCAGCTTGATTTCTGCCTCTCTCCTTGTTACTGACACTTGCATGAGGATTTTCATCACTTCTTTGTCTGCAATACAGTCATTACTTTATAAATAACATAAAGATGAAAAAGCATTAAGATGTTTAACTCTAGTGTCCAGGAATAGGATATTGTCATGGACAACTATAGACAGGGTTTGGATTGGTGAATGGATTTACTGACCACTTATACACGGAACTCAAGACTACAAGCAATTACAGCGCCACTGCTAATCTCCACAATTCACAAATCACCACAGCACCTGCTGTGTCTTCCCACTGTGTCCCACTGTGCCCACTGTGTCTTCACTAGCCATTCCCTGGCAATGACTTCTAACAGTGCTGATTCATTAGCTTCACGCACCTAAATCATATCTTCAGACTCCTGTATAAAACTGCTTATCAACTGGGTAAGTCACATTGCAACTGATGGTCAATCAGTCAGTAAGTTTTGGTGTCAAGCCTCATCTGGGGCTCGTGACAAGATATTTATTACTGTTTGACAGTTATGGTCTTGTCTTTATGGGGCACCCCCTCTGATGAGAGGATTGGTCTATCTTTTGTATATGCTGCTGGCCCTTGCCAGCACAGTTTTCTCGGGTCCTAGTCCTTTGGAACGTGCGACCATATTTTACTGTCTCAGATCTGAGATTTCCCTTTTTGTCGCCAACTATGACTTGCAGGGTGACGGTGGAGGTATTCGACCTCGCCTCCACACGGGTCACCTATCAACTGAGTAACCTCTAAAGCTCCCAGTTATAACATTTCAGCACAGACCACGTAGAAAACACAGTTCTTCTATTGTTGCATGTGTGCATGTTGCAGGTGTTACCTAGCAATGGTCGGTCTTTCCTGGATCACTGCTTTGCAATGGGTCTACACTCCACAATACTGTAAATCTCCTGGTACTGTGGAGGTAGTGGATGGATTTTAACTCAGGTAAATGTTTGTCTGGCAATAGGTAATTTCAATTTCAAATAATATGGGGCTGGTGGATGAATTTCAACTTGGGGGGGGGCAGAGGCTAGAAGTGGAAACAGGATTTTAAATCTCCTGGTAGTACAGCACTGGTGGATGGATTTTATTTCAGGGGTCAATGTTTATTGTCTTGGAATATGGGACAAGTTCTACAGCACTCGTTGATGGCCAGACACAGAGATAATGGCATCATTACTGAAAAAATGCAGCATATCTTAAGACTTGGTGGCAAGGAAAGCGACAAGACATTATCTGCTGACAGTTGATTATTAATGAACAATCACTGAAAGAATCCCAGTTTAAGACTTATTTTCAGTTTTATGTAACAGCCAGATAACAAACATATTTCCTTCCTTTTTTCTCCCTGACACATTTACTTATTTACACTTTATTTAATGAAGTATCATCTTCCTCATATTGTATAGCATCAAATGAGTAATGAATTGGAAATGACACAGAAGAAAGGAGTCTTGGCCAAATTTAATGCTATCCCAGTATTCACCTCGAGAATGTAACAGAACCAACATGAGACCTCAGTCTTGACATCTAGATTTAGGGCTGAAGTTTGAACCCAGGGCCTCCTGAATGTGTAGCACAAGTGCTATCCACAAGAAGTTTGGTATTTTGTCATTTCATTGAACCACTTTATAGTTTTCACAGTTCAACTTACCATCTACCACATGTTCTTTCAGCTTCGTGTTGATGGCTTCCTCAATAGAATGCAAGAGCCGAATATCATGAGGTGTGACCAGAGATATCGCCATGCCACAGCGTCCAGCTCGAGCTGTACGGCCCACCCGGTGAATGTAATCCTTGGCAAGATTCGGTAATGTGTGGTTCACTACCAACTCCACAGCTGGTATATCCAGCCCTGAACATAAAAGAATACAACACTTTTCATGCAAAAAAAATGACATCTAATGGTGATTAGAAATAGAATTTAAATTGCTATCTTTTGAGGTATGACACTGTGTAGTCAAGCAGGTTGGTACTAATGTTCTGGAGGACCACACTGCCTCCCACTACAAGGAATATTTCAGGTATGTTCACATATATATATATATATATTTATTTATTTTACTTCTGCATGCTGGCTGTCTACATAACCCATCAACATGGAGTGCTGCGCCCTATATGTGGGTGACTACTTATGTTTGCATATCATTTAAGATGAAGATTGTGATATGTATACCAAGTGGATTATTGATTTTTCAATGAGGAAACAATCCATCTTGGAAATGTGAATTGTACACGTAAATTAGCTGTTAGTAGATAAGGCATCTGCTAGTAAACAATTATTGAATGCAAACAATGAAGATATTTTGAAAGAACACTTCTCTTATTCTGAAGACAATAAAATAACAAAGTCATGACTTGTTTTACAGCAGTTATTTTGTACATATGAATTTAAATCCCTGGTGGGAATTCCTCCTACAGCAAGTTAGGGCCTCCAGCTATATCACCTCATAGACCGTACCATAGCTCAAGTGGTTAGTCACTGGTTTCCCACCGTGGTGGCCCGGGTTTGATCCTGGGTGTGGACAAAGTGGCGCTGGGGCGAGTTTTCTCCGAGTACTTCGGTTTCTCCTGCCAATCTTCATTCCACCAAATTCTCCATCATCCTAATTACCCAGGGCAGGCTACTATAGGCCAATCAGTGGCTGCCGTGCTGAGTGGACCCAGTTGGACTCCACTCCCCACTAAGCGAATTAGAAAAAAAAAATCACCATATTCAGATAGGTCAATTAAACAAACGTTAATATATATCCTCACGCAAACTTTCTTTCTACCACTGTAGCAGCCAACTAGACAGGCATGTACGTAAAAGATGGCCAAAACTACAAAACTTTAACATTGTCTGACATGTATATTCTATGTTTCAAGGTGGAACCATTGTAAAATTACACTTAATATTAATTACAACATTAGTAGTCAGTAGATATATAACAAAATGGGGGGAGGATATGGTGATGCATATATATTAGAAATTCAGAAAAAGCCTCATGTGAACATTATGGTTGCAGTTATTGCAAAAGGTTTTACTTTACATCAGCATCTATGATGAAGTTAATTACTTAGAACACTTTCTCCTTTCTGGATAATCTCCTACATATTTTAAGAGTGCCATCTTCTGGGATGTTGCACCATTTAGATCTTGTATGAACTGATGTTTCGGAGGAACGTATCGCCTCCATCTTCAGGGTAGAAAAATCCGCGTGAGCAGGTGGCTGCAGCTGCTCACACTAGTTCCTTGTGTGCAGATTTTTATAACCTGAAGATGGAGGCGTTACGTTCCTACGAAACATCGGTTCACACAAGATCTATGCCATTCAATATCCCAGAAGTCACCGGTGTGAAAACCTCAAATCTTATACACTCAAGTGCCAAAAGTCATGGGACAGCAGTATGTAAATTTATTTTTAAGTGGCGCCACCGTCCCTTTATGGCTTGGGAGTGCCCAGAGCAGTATCAGTTGTGAGGTGTTCTCTCGTGAGTCACGATGAACACCAGCCATTCTGCTCATGGCAAACCGACCTGAATTACTGCAGTTTGAATGGGGCATGATAGTGGGTGCCAGGCGGATGGGACATTCCATTTCCGAAGTTGTGCGGTCATTCAACATTCCTCGATCCACGGTGTCGCGTGTGTACTGGGAATACCTTGTGGAAGGCATTTCCACCCACCGTGGACAGCACAGTGGCCGACCACGGGTGCTTAATAATCGTGACCAGCGGCGTCTAGCTAGAATTGTCCGTGGTAACAGACAACCAACACTGGCTGAAATCACACCCACATTCAATGCAGGAGGTACCAGACGCATATGCAACAGGTCAGTGCAGCGTTCTTTAGCTTCCATGGGATATAGGAGCAGAAGACCGACCACAGTACCTCTGTTAACACCACGACACCGGACACAGTGCCTCACAGGGCTTGTGACGTTGCTAATTGGACCCTGGAGGATTGGCAACATGTGGCATGGTCCAATGAGTCACGGTACCAATTACTTCAGGTGTGGCACACACCCCATGAGGCCGTGTACCCCAATTGTCAACAAGGCACTGTGCAGGCTGGTGGTGGTTCCATACTGGTGTGGGGAGTGTTCATGTGGCATGAGTTGGGTCCGCTCATCCACCTAAACACGTCACTGACTGGTGACCACTATGTTACACTGCTTGGTGACCATTTGCAGCCCTTCATGAACTTCATGTACACCCACAACGATGGGATATTCCAGCAGGAAAATGCACCGTGTCATCAGCCCGGAGTTGTCCAGAATTGGTTCGAGAAGCATTCTGGAGAGTTCCGACGAATGGTGTGGCCACCACATTCGCCCGACATGAACCCAATTGAGCATTTATGGGACGTGGTGGAGAGGTCCATTTACACCCAAAATCCTGCATCTATAAATACCAGGGAGCTGTGGGCAGCTATCCAGATGGCATGGCTCAACATCTCTCCAGAGGTCTCCTGTCCACTTGTGGAATTGATGCCATGTCGAGTTGCTGCACTTCGCCAGGCTAGAGGGGGTCCTACATGATACTACATACCTATCCCATGACTTTTGGCACTTTGCCTACTTTCCATATTTTGAAAAAAATTAGACAAGATCATCTTGCTGTGTATCCCCCCTAGCATCACTAGGCAGTGGCTTGGTAAACACATCCCTGCAGCAATTAGTGCATCATTTTCTATGCGCTCCATGTCGTATATAAGGGAAGAAAGTGACTCGATCTTCCCACAATTTCTGTTCCACTTTGATGTATTAAAATATGTTCATTGTAGTTCTTTTAGTTATCCCCCCCCTCCTCCCGCAGTCTATCAAATCCCTAATCATTTCTAGTAAATATCAAAGTTTGTGGTCTTGAATAGATATGTTTATTGCAGGATTCGTGATTTTCCAGGTTATGACCTGTCCAGTGTTAAGCGTTCACTACAAGCACACATGCACACAGAAATTTGAATTTTTGTAACTCAGATTTGGGAATAATGTATCCTTCCTTCATGCATAAACATCAGTTTGATTAATACTGCTGTAATTGCTGCTGTGAGAACCTGAAGTGTCACAGATGTTTAAGAAGACTAAACACAAGAAGCACGAACTGATACACACCTCTGCTTGCAACGTCTGTGGCTATAAGGATCCTGATGATGTTGGATCTGAACTGTGCCAGGGCCGCCAGCCGTTCTTTCTGGCGGATCATGGCATGCAGTGCTACATTCTCAAACCCAACCTCATTCAGGGTCATGGATAAAAGTTGACAGTTCCTGTAAAATTAATTTTCAGTTTATGGTTAATATACACTACATGCTATGTTTGTAGTCCTGGCTTTTGGGTTGCATGTGAGAAGTATGGCAGAATGTAGCTAGGTGGTGGTTGCAGCTGTAATGTTGGAGGGAAATAGTGATGCACCATAACTTAGGCCTTGCTATAACCCATACACACCCTGCAGTCCATATCTCAGTTAATAGGCCAACCAAGTCCATTACATGTCCTGCCAAGAACAGCCAGGTCTCAAAATATGGGCAGTAGAAATATAAACTAAGTTTAAAATTATTTGATGATAATGACAAAATTTAAAGCCAATTATTTGTGCTCTGTCCATTGTTCTGGACTTCATGTAAGAACCACGTTTCTAAACTGAGTTCTATTCCATCTTCAGATGGTGAGGGACATAAAAAGATTCCTACTCTTAGGCCTTTAAGCAATGAATACCATGCCCTGAAGAGTGACGTCAATGAATACGGAACTTTTAAATTACTACTTAGTCTCTATGACCTTGTACATAAAGTTACGCGTGTGACGGAACGTTTCTGAATAACTTCTGCAATATGGCTTGCAGGATTTATACTTACTTGCATGTATCGGTGAAGATCATGATGGAGCCTTTCTCGTTCTTCTCTCGAAACATGCGTACAGTCTGAACCAGGTAACTGTCCTTTACATTCACTGGACATAAAATATAAAACTGATCCAGCTGTTCCACTGTTGCCACTTCTGCTGGTGCCTCCCACATGAAAACCTGCAAGTAGCCAAATAACTAAAAAATAAAATAAAATAAAGCTATCCCTGTACCAGGCTATGGAGGCTCACAGGGTTGTGAGATATCAAGCCTCACACATTTTCTAGGCAGTCGGCTCACAGATGATGGTGAGGTTGGTCAGTCTTATGCACTGGCTGCCCTTTACCCCCAGGAAGATTCCTGGTACTCATTTCTGTTAGAGGCTGAGTCGACCCCAGGGTCATAGTGAGTCTACAAGGATTAGGTCAACTGAAAAATCCAAGGACCTCATCGGGAATCGAACCCAAGACCTCCTAATTTAAATTGTTGTCTTCTAGGTTATAACATCATGTAGTTGCAATGTTGGTTCTTAACATTTGGTGGAATGTAAATGTCTTCAATTTCAAGACACAAGAGCTGACAACGGAAGCAGCAAGTACCTCTGAAATGCTGGCAATCTCGCAGACTACATGCTGTCACATCCCACAAGAACTTCAAATCTCAGAACAAAAATTTCCATCACAACTATCCCATAAGTCACACAATACCTGAATACCTACATAAGCAAGCTGAGATACCCCAAGCCATGCAGACAAGTTTACACCTGCCTTCCTGCACTACTATCATCACTTATTTAAAAATGTAGGCAGCTGTTTCATTTTCAGTGACAAAAAATACAAAATAGAGACGATAAATGTGGTCAAGTTTTGTGCGCATGTACTTTCCAAATGTAATCTCTGCAATCTTTCATACCTCACTGATGAATTGGGGTAGCTCAGTCAGAATAGTGACCTGTTTCTAACTGGATGACCAGAGTTTAATTCTAAGGGGTGAAACAGTTCCCATGTTTTTATGCTTCTATTTTACCGCGCAGTCTGTTCTAGATGCAGTGCTTTAGACTTGTAGTAGGGACGTGGTGAGTTTGGATCTTGGCCAGGACATCAATTATCTTGACTGGGGTTCTTGATGGATTACCTCAGACCCACCATGCAAATGCCAGGAGAGTTACCTCCAGCAGGCCTCCCACTTCCTTCCAATCCTTTCCAATTCATCAGTCATCCTACCATTAACAGTGTATAGTCTAGATTCCGATGGCATCATTCAGTAATCCACATACCTCCTTATCCTCAATGGTTATAATTGATGTCTACCTTATAGTGGGACAGTTAACATTTACTTCTTCACATGATTAAATGCATGATCTCACGCAGGTGAATCCAGTACAGAACATCTCTCTTAAATAAGCTGAACTACTTCAGTTTAGCAATCACGTTTCCCTTCTTTCCCCCCCCCCCCCACGTCAATTNGCATTCATGCAACCCAATATTAAACACTTAAGTGAATATTCAATATGTGCTCAATCACATCATCTTTTAACAACACATCAATAAAGTTACCTAAATAAAGACATTAATTACTGTTATTTTCTTCTGATCTAACTTCGCTCACAAGCGGCAGTTGCTGGGTCAGTATAGTTCGCTTGCAGACTAAAGGCTACAGAGTTTTTTTTTTGTAGCATTGTGCATCAATATTCCCCTCAGTAAAAAGCTGGGTGATTTCAGTGAACTTTTATGTGCAGATTATGAAAATGTTCTATCACCCACAATTTTCTTTGGAAAACTAAATTTGGGATCTTCTTTATAAGACAAAACTGTGAAATCTCACAAAGATTTGACTTGGTGAGTAACGCGGCTGTTGGTTAGTATAACGACACATGGCACTCAAACCACTGGTCAGCAGGAGTTCGCTGTGTTGTGTGGCGATTATCTGGAAAATCACCGCAGCATATCTGGCAAGCTCTTATATGGCTTGTATAGCAAGCTTTGATTGCTTCCCTTGACAAAGGTCAATGACATAAGCCCAGATTGTAATTCATCACATTCAGATTCACTATAATCACCCAATTCCCTTTAAGGCAGAGAAATGAATATGTTAACCACCAGAGAGAACCATAGGCAATAATACTTAATGTTTTCTATTTCTCACCTTATTACTTGCAACTTGTTTCACTTTCTCCAATGTGTCTGTAATTGTCGCACTGAACAGTAAGTTCTGTCGTATTCTAGGAAGGGCACTGAAGATTATCTTCAACTGTTGGGGAGAAACAGGCCATTTAAATCATACACAGATCACATACTACACTAAAGTACAGAGAACTCATGTACAAGGTTGTCAGTCTTACGTGCCGACTGGCCACCCTTTACCCCCAGGAAGATTCCTGGTACTCATTTCTGTTAGAGGCTGAGTCAACCCCAGGGCCTGGTGCAGCTGGAGGGAATAGGTCAATTGAAAAATCCAATGACCTCATCAGGATTTGAACCTGTGACCTGCTGACTTGTAGCATAGTGCCTCAACCAACTATGCTACTGTGCCCTGCAAGTGGAGATATACCTCTGCAATTCTTAATCTCTGCACCAGATGGAGGTGAGAATTAAAGTTTAGGGGACGATCCAGAATAAGATAGTTCAGCCAGGTACTGCAAGACATCAAGATAAAAGAGGAGACACAAATAAACCAAGAACAAAAGACAGAAGAGACTGTACACTTCATCCAGTTACTGTAAAGTATGGAAAAAGAGGACAGGAACCACTGACAACAGCAATACAAGTAGGCTGCTGTAGTAGTATGTTCCGGGCTTGTGTTCAGGAGATGTTTGGTTCAACTTGAGTGGGACACCGGCTATCCTGCTTTTTGGTGGTTTTCCTCACAATACTACACTGATTTGTCTGTCCACATCCCTTCCAATTCATTATTCCACCAGTCATCCTATTATTCAACATTAAGTACTTTCAGATACCAAGAGCACAATGAAGCACACAACAGCAACAACAATACAGTCTGCAGTGTATACCAAGCAGACCACAGGGCATGCTCCTTTTAGATACTTCAAATATGTTCATATTTCTTCATGTTCACTGTTATGACAATGCCACTATAACATTCTGATAGTGGATATGATTCCAGAAAACAAACCTGTTTATCAAAACCACCTCCTCCAGCTAATAGCCTGTCTGCCTCATCCAATACAAGAAATTTTATTTTCTTCAGTGAAAACGTATTGCAGCTTTCTAAATGATCAGCTAACCTGCAAACCAGATAACACATTAACAAGTTGCTGGATTTGAAATTCTCACAGTGGCAACTACAAAGAGTACAGTCCTGTGAGATGTAACAGCACATAGTCCAGAGGGCACCTGACACCTGCATCTTCAGGGCTGAACAGAAAATCAAGCAAAAAACCAGCAAGACACAAGCTAAGCCTCACCTTGCTGCCTGTTTTTGCTGGTTTCTTGCTAGATTTATTCTGCAACCATCAAGATGGTGATACATTCCTCTGAAATGTTGGGCTCTCTCTCTGACCCATATTGTGTTATAACCCAGAAGAAATACATTTTTCACATAAACAAGTCAATTTATGAACAGTACCATCATATGGCATGTGTTACTGCACTGTAGGGTATCCTGAAAATTGAGACAGGAATTTTGTCTCAAGGAATGGTATCTACCTACCAACTTACATTCACATCACAGCCCAGATGACAACAAACTTCATAATCAATGCCATCAGAACCACAAATCTTGTAAGTTGTTTATAAGCCACACCATAGCTCAAGCGGTTAGTTGCTGGCTTCCCACTGCAGCAGCCTGGGTTCGATCCCGGGTCTTGTCAAGTGGGATTTGTGGTGGACAAAATGGCGCTGGGGCGGGTTTTCTCCAAGTACTTCAGTTTCCCCTGCCAATCTTCAGTCCACCAATTGCTCCACAATCACCCTCACCTATCATCTGGGGCTGGTAGAATAGGCCAGAAGTGGCCGCAGTACAAGGGACTTAGTCCCACCCCTACCCGGTGGAGGTCGTCGAATTTTTAAGGGCAGAAAAATTCAGGGATCAAGTCCTCTGGGAGGGACTTTAAGCCGTGGGTCCCGTGTCGTACTTTTACGGCACGTAAAAGAACATCATACCTCCAAAGGAGGTCACTGAGCAAAATTGCGGACTTTTGCCGCCCAACAGCAGTCACTAATACCTCCGGCAGATGGGGGAAGCATTATAGATACTTCTCAGCCAGTAGAGCCGGTCTCGCTGGCTGGGCGGGACTGATTGTAAGCACCAATACCGGCAGGATATAGAGACTGGTAGAAATTATAGATGGAAGCACAATGGACCACTACAGGTCTAAGTGCATGGGGAAATCCACCCTCTCTAATAACTAACTAACTAACTAACTAGTCCCACCCCACTAGAAATAAAAAAAGAAGTTGTTTATATTACACAATGCACTATTAAAAGTGCATACACAGTTTTCTAGTTCTATTTACATAAAACATGCAAAAATACAGCAGTTCTGGAGCAAACATGGCATCAGTACAAAAATGGTTAATGCCATAGACCAATATGCAGCCTATATTTCTAAAATGAAAAGTTCAACAGCATAAAATGAAAGGTAAAGTTGTCCCTGTGCTTAATTAAGCACCAAGCAATAAACATATACTGAAGAATAAAGGTACAGCTCCATGCATTCTTAACCTCAGCATTAAATGGAAGTGTGTGGACCGCTTCACATTCTGTGGAACGAGCTGGCACCCATCTACTGGACAAGAGGTTGGGTGAGGCACAGCCTTGATGTTGTGGAGAAGACATGAGCCCAAATTCCTCGGTCACCTGACCCGCAACCCAGTTGCTATACAGATTTAATTATCCTGCCTTCTTTCATACTGTAAGTTTTATTCACATTTATTTTCCAAGTTCACCCTCAATTTTAGGATATTTCTTCTTCAATCATACAAGAATAAACTACCTTCCAGGGGTGGCAATGACAATATGCGGCTTCTTGGACAATTCCTGCCCCTGCTGCACCATGTCCATCCCACCAGTAATTATGCACTGTTTCAAATTGACTGCCTTCCCAATTACTGCAAACTGGTCAGCAATCTGTAAGCGGAAGGGACACTGCTATAACATCTCGCCTGTACCACGTATTTACTAGCATAAAGCCCACCAACATCTTTGCATGGCCACAGGCTTCTTACTGACACTGAATGTACTCTTGGGTCTTTGCACAATATGGATCTGGTCGATATGGCCGACATTTCTGAAGTACCTCTATATGCAGGTTTGGAGTAGGATGAGTGACCTACCTATGCTCACTCTGAAGATGGAGGCAGCATGTACCTCAGAAATGTCAGCAACACAGCCCCAAAATCCACACGGTGCAAAGACATAACAGAACAATCAACAATGGTGAAAGTCTAAAATCAGCTAAGTTATTTGATATTGCACCAAAAATAACCTTCAGAAACTTTGCACATTTTTTTCAAGATCCATTATCCTATGTTATTTCAGGACCATAACTTATGTTGTTAGCGTAGCTCCCATCTCATAAGTTTATGTGTCTGCCATCTTATTATTAGAGATTAAAAAAGGAAAAAAGTATGACAATGCAGTGAAAATCTGTGAGCTGGTTCAAAAGTGGAAATGGACATATATACACACACACACACACACACACAGCATGGTGATCTGTTAAACATGCTATGTTTCCTCAAAAAATGACAACAGGCTTGAAATGTTTCACTGTACCTGAAAAGCGAGCTCCCTTGTGGGCGTAAGCACAAGTGCAAATATTCCATATGGTTCCTCACACAATTTCTGTAGAATTGGAAGAGCAAATGCTAATGTTTTGCCACTACCAGTTTTGGCACATCCTATACAATCTTCACCAGAAAGAATGCGTGGAATGCAGTTAATCTGGATGGGTGTAGGATGCTTCAGACCTAAACATCAAGCAAGACAGTTACATGACTGGAAAGTATATCAGTTTCTTGAATGTCCACTTGCAAAAATCTGCATTTTCCACTTTCACATAATTAACTGCAGAAGAAAACTTAACCACTCGGAAGACCTACGCATGGATGGGAGAATGATATTCAAATGTCAGATTTGGTAGGTAGGGAGTAGTAACATTTCAGACAAATGCTTCTACCTTCTTTGAAGCAATGTCTCTGAACCACTGGTATCCATTTACCAAAAAGTGTGCAGGTGTAGACTGCATTCATCTGTCACCTTCCCTTTAAAAAAAAATGGATCAAAGGAGACATACTGTAAATGATCAACATTGGATCTTATCAAATTCGTGGAAATTCTTCACTAGCTGAACGACTGTTACCTTTTCAAGGACTCAGCTTCATGTAGTCAGATTTGCGGGCATGCTACTAATATTATTGGGTTAGTTTCAGTTAAGTACAGGGGCCGTCCTTCCTCAACTTAAATGTTCACTAAATAATGTACATTACGAGCAGATTGTAACCTCAAAAAATAACTTAATTCTTAACACGGTATATCTTACTTATACACAATAAATATGAGATGACAGAATACTGCTGTGCACGATTACTTTTTGGTTACATACCCATTGCTTCGCACTGTCTAACGATCCACGAGTTCAACTTCAGATCAGAAAATGATTCCATTATATCCATCTATTGTGCTATTTTCTCCTGATCCGTGCTCTTTCCTCTCTCCTTTGTAACTGGGGCGTTCAGCACACACGTTGTGGAAGTTGAGTAATTAACATCATTAACATATCCCTGCACCTAATTGCACGTGCCTAACAAATGGCTACGGAATTGGAATTGGTTGCCTGCAGAGGGCATCACTATCGATCACTATACAGTGATGACAGTGATATTGTGATCCACATTGAACGGTATTGAGGTATCGTCTGTTAGTCAGCTTGTCATGTGGATTACCTCCAGCAGGCGCGCGCTTGACTGTGCGCACGTGTGGCGCACTATTTTTAAAAATTTTAATTTTGCACCAATCTTACTTACGCGACATGTACTGACTTTGCAGTGGTTCTTTAATGTCTTTTTCACTGTTCTGGAATAGATATCACTGTTGCTTGTGCAACTGGATTGTCACAGTGAGACTGGAATATGGCTGGCTTTTGTTGCGCTGAATATGCCATGCTCCCGGTGATGCATGAAATTTCACATTGAAGTATATTTTGACTCTTGAATTTGATTTTATGCATTCTAGCAGCAATAATATTCACACCAAAACGACCTACGAATAATATCAGATGGAATGAAATGAGATAAAGTGAATGAAAAAAAATCGTTTTTAAAAATGAGAAATATTGTTAATAGACACAAATATTAATTATGTTATCGCGTTTTCTTGGGGCATATATGACATATGAAGGAGCTATGAGAATACTTAATGAAAAATGAAATAAAGTGGCCATGAAGAGCTATAAATCCGAAAAAGAAAATTTACTAAATGCAATCACAAAGTGCCTATAAGAATAATAGTCTAACATCTTCAAAAAAAAATTATCTATCAGCTGCTAAGAGCTATAATAATATGAATATAACATAAATCATAAAATATGCAAATCCTATAGCTCATATCAGCCAAAGGTGACCAATGCCACTAATATTCATGGCAGAAGTCATTGCAAAATTTATTTACCATTCCAATTGAGAATGTTAGTCAAAAAACACAAATAATGTTGGTACGACCTGAAGTGACAGCATTCGTTTCAAAACAGTCAGAAACGACTTGTGGTGAAGAAGGAGAACGGTGAAAAAAGAATTGTGGAACCACTGAATATGAAGTAAGGAAGTCAGTGTTTGGTTTTGTTTGTAATAGTTAACTGTGTAGTGATGGATCAGCCATGCAGTAAACATCAACACTGAAGCATGCAGCATTCATTAATAGAACACAGGGTCTAGTACCACCTCTCAAGTCTCTTACAGGGAGGACATTCCAGTAACAATCTGTCTGGACATGGTTGTGACAAAGAGACAAATTCTGTTCCTTCCAGGAACAAAAAAAGTTTGTCTAACCCTTAGCCTGGCTGAGCTATCCGGGCTCATTTTTTATCAGCTGGGGAAGGGTTTATATTAGCATCTGACAGCAAGATGGTGATGCATGATGAATTGGAAAGGATTTGGCCTAATTGGGGTACAATCCTGGCATTTGCTTAGAGGGAACCCATTAAAATCCTCCTAATTTTACAATTGAAATTGTAAAATATGGATCCATTTTAAAGTAACTCAATGCAAGAACTTAAATTGATTCTTGTGTCTTGCATGATGATGACCTAGGAAAAGTCGAAACACATAGTGCAAAAACCTGTGCATAGTAAAGAAATGTTGATATGGTAGTATCTATTTTATCTTCATTTTGTAGAAATTATTGTTGTGTAGACGGCCCAATTTACGCTATTTATTGATTGTATAACAAATAAGGTAATGCAAAGGTAGAGCTGTCTCTCTGCTTAATTTATTAAGCACCACGCCATTAAGACATATGGGGAATAGCATTATAGTTCCACAATTCTTGAACTCAGCACTAGATGGTGGTGGTCAGCTTCACACCTTGGCCACTTTACCCCTTGGGAAAGACCCCCCCCTACACAGGTACCCATTGGATATGAGGTTGGGTGGCCCCATGGCCAGTCTGGACGTTGAGGAGTAGAGAAAAATTTCTTGCCCTTGCCAAGAATCGAATCCCAGCCATGCAGCTCATAGCTATACCGACTGAGCTATCCCAGCTCTATATAAAGAATAAGGTAAAATACGAAGGTTTAGGAGGTAAAACATAAAACTTATATTCAGATCCATTTAGCTCTAGCAACACACACAAACTCTCACGCTAAGAATGCCCTCAGCAACATAAAAGCAAACTGAAAGGATCTTTAAAATCAGATATAGTGACTATGTTATATTTTAGCGTCCTGTTGCACTGATTTATGTCCATGATTTATTCTAACCGTCTTACAGACTCACACACACAGTCACAGGAGCAAGACACAATACAAAGCACAATACACACACGAAAGTAGGAAGAATGCTCTGATAGAGGAAGATAGGTGTGACTCGCGTATTGAGATAACGACATAAGGATGACAAATCCTGAACAGTTTTAATATTTTTAATATTTAAAATTTATCAATATATAGGATGAGTATATATTTTAGTATAAAGACAACAGGGCATGCAATGAAGTAGTTTGACGTACAACGAAAAGCACCTGAAGATGGCACTTTTGTGCTGAAACATGTAGTGCAAGAGAGAAGAGTAAGGTGAATAAATGTATGCACTGTAAGACGGTTAGAATAAATCATAGTGACTATATCCATGACAACAAACAAACAAGAAACTCAAAATTTGCTCAACATAAACTAGAAATAAGTAACTCATATGGCCCCCTTGAAGATACGTTATGTACATCTCATACAATAACAATATGTTCTGGGTAGAACTAATCATCTATTTTCTTTTGATACGAAACAAACTGCACAGAAAATGTATTCGTTGCCACAGTGAAGTTTTTATTGAGCTGTTTCCTAGCAACAACGTGGAGGGATATACATCCAGACACACAGACTGTTGGGAGGGATTTGGGAGAGTGTTGGTATAACTGCATGCACATTTCACCCCTGCATTAGATGGAGGTGAGTGGTCAGCTTCATGTTCCAGCCACTTTAACTCCAGTACCCACTACACAGGAGGCTGGGTGGGTCCCAGAGCCAGTCTGGATGCTGCAGAGGGGAGAAAAATCTCTTACCCTCACTAAGAAACAATCCCCAATTGCTCAGTCATCCAACCCATAGCCTGTTAACTCTACAGTAAGCTATCCCACCTCTCACATCACTAGTGAGTGTCAAGAAGGATACAACCTTCCCTGTGTGTTCAGAGAAACAAATATGAATATGTCTAAAGAAATGCAGACCCCATGTTCCTACTGTGGGTGTTTCAAGGCATTTGAAATGATATGGAAACATTCGTTTTATATTTGCACTGGCTGCAAATGACATTTTGAAGCCTTTCTTCGAAACCGTCTTCCACTGAGACCCTGCAAGGTGTGTATTCAATACACACAGTGAACTGCAGGCTGTTGTAGTTTGTTATTTTTAGTTTTATGTAAAAGAGAAGTGATCCCTATTAATAATGTTGTATTTTAGCATCCTGTTGCACTGATTCGTGTCCATGATGGGTATGTATTATGATGGAGAGCAGTGCAATAGTTTAACGTAAATAACACACCTGAGGATGGCACAGTGATGCCGAAACATGTAGTGAAGTGACAAGTGAGACTGTGTGCACTAGAAGACGGTCAATACATACACATCATGGACAAGAAGTGATTCAATGAAGTCCTGTCAGGTGATCTGTCATGTGAAGATGGAGTTAGTATCCTTGTTCTGGAGACTGCCTCTGTCCCTCTGTTGCTGTCGATATCTAGATCACACGGCGTCAAACACGCAGGATCACTGATGAATGGGAAAGGATTTGGAAGGAAGTGGTAATGGCCTAATTGAGATATTAACCTCATATCTGCCTGGAGAGACTGAGGAAAGCCACAAAAAAACTCACTCAGGATAGCTGGTGTTCTAGCTGAGATTCAAACACAGTACTTCTCAAATAAAAATCTGAAGTGTATAGCTATAGGCCAACATGTTAGGTGCCTCTGTCTCCAGTTAGGGATTGTAGTGATCAGTGACAAGTCTACGTGTTTTATTTATACCAACATAGGAGGCTGAGCTGTCCCCACATTTGACACTAAGTGAACAACAGGTAGAATCAGGCAGTGAATCATCACAATCCACCTTTCTTAACCTGAACACCATAGCATTGTAGATGTCGTTGGTCCTACATTACAATTTCTTAACACAGACAAAAGTGACTATGACACTCATCACATCAACCCCTCATGGAGGGAGGGAGGTAAGGAGGGAGAGACTCTGAAATTTTGGAACCTAATCACATCTTAATTCAGCTCATCACCTGAGAAGACCTACTGCACCCAGTTATGATGAAAGTTTAAAGGAGTTTTTCTTAATATGCACTCCTGGGCTTGGAGATAAAAGGAGGAAAATAGAATTCTTCTTGAAGATAAAAATTTGTGCTTCAGTGTAAGATGGGTCGGTTTTGGCCTATCTGTAGATGCATTCTGCAGATCCTAGTAAGCAGGATGTAGGAGGCTAGGATGCAGTATATGACTCATATAGAAGCATGCAAAATACAAGGCTCGGATAAAAAGTAGTGGCAATACTGCTGTAATATGAAGGATGTGTGTCAGGTGGCACTAGCGCCGTCTGTAGCTGATAGCAGAAGTTCAGTTGAAGTGGTGCAGTGAGTGGCTCTGGTTGTGTTTCATTGAGTTGCATTGTGCATCGTCTTGAAGTGCAGGAGCCCAGTTCAAGCACCCTAACATATTTATGAAACAAGAACAACGCTCCTGGATAGAAATTGAAGTTGCACGAGGTTGTAGTGCACAAAACTATTATCAGGGATTGCGAGAAGCATGTGGTGATGCTGCTTTGCCATATCGCACAGTGGCACGATGGGTGAAATTGATCCGTGAAGGGAGGGATGCCATTCAGGACAGCCATTGTTCAGGATGACCCCATGTTGACAACCACACAATTCAGCTTGCTTCTTTGCTGGATGTCGATCGTCGATGGGCTGCGCAGGAGTTAGCTGCTGAGGTAGGCGTATGTCACAAAACCGTGCTCCACATTCTGCACGATATTCTTGGATACCGCAAAATTGCAGCGCGTTGGATACCCCATACAATGTCCGAGGTGCAACAATGGCAACGTTATGTAATTGCACAGGACTTGTTGGACTGGTACCAGAGGGAAGGTGATGACTTCCTTGGAAGGATCATCACTCTGGACGAAACTCTGGCCCGCTCATATGAACTGTACTTGAAGCAACAATCAAATGAATGGAAGCATCCTGGCTCTCCTCGTCCAAAGAAAGTGCACCCTACACAGAGTAATGTGAAGGTGATATTCACTGTGGCATATGACACTGACGGAGTAATACTGCACCACTCTGTACCTCAATGACAGACAGTAAACGCTGCCTACTACTGCAATTTCCTGCATAATTCTCTTCGTTCAGCACTCAGGAGAAAGCTACTATACTTGTTGGCAACGAACCCCATCATCCTTCACGACAATGCAAGGGCTCATACTGCTGACGCTGTCAAGGATCTCCTTCGCCACTGGCAATGGGAGATACTGCAACATCCACCATACTCACCCGATATGAGTCCGTGCAATTATGATCTCTCTGCCAAAATGAAAAAACCAAAGCGAGGGACACATTACAACACATGAGAGGAGATTATTCGTGCTGTAGGGCGGTCACTGCTGGAGAAGTGGATGCGCTGATGGTGTATGACGCCTTCCACAAATTTGGCAGAAGGTGGTACACATGGGGGGCGATTATATTGAAGGAATGTAAGTGTGTTTACCTCAGGTAATAAGGTCATTTCAGAACTATAGAGGTGTTGCCACTACTTTTTATCTGACCTATGTACAATGTACTTACACAACATATCCCAGCAAGAAAACAGACCACAGTACATCCAACCACATATATAATTACTCTATTTGAATTATACAAAATATTTACAACTACCTACAATTACATTGCACTAAATATATGCATGTTGTATTAAGAAACTAAGACATGAAATACATTACTGTACACATAATTACGTACAGTACATACATACATATCACATGTGCAGGCTACTACTGTCCATATATATATAAAGGTAAAGATATCCCTGCAACAGGCTGTGTAGGGCCATAGGATTGTGAGTTGTCAAGGCTCCCACATTTTCTGGACAATCAGCTCACAGATGGTGGTGAGGTTGTCAGCCTTACATGCTGGCCACACTTTATGCATAGGAAGATTCCTGGTACTCATTTCTGCTAGAGGTTGGTTGACTCCAGGGCCATAATGCAGCTGGAAGGATTAGGCCAACTGAAAAAATTAAATGACCTCATCGGGAATCGAACCCATGACCATAAGAAAATAAAATATAACTGTAATTACACACACTACTGTGGTGAGTGAACAAATGATAAGTAATCTTAATGGTAACAATCATGAAAACCTCAAATCTCTGACATAACAGAGTTTATTGTGCAAGAAATAAAAATCGGTGCAAACACACTGCACATACTTCTCCATATACAACTGACCTTCACTACATTGACCTTGGAAACGAAATAAATCATTGTCTGGTAAACTTCTGTTGGTTTCTGAATACCGAACAATAATGAGATCCATGACTGACAAAATCAATATTTTGTGTTTTGGCCCTCAGTGCATGTACCGTTACTTTCCTGAATATACAACATATATAGTTTAATCCAGGGGGAAACGTAATGAAAATAATCAGCTCTGTTCTCAAGAAAATCGACATTTTGTGCTTTGAGACCCATCCAAAAGTACAACATTTTTGAAGCTAGAATGTTTATGTTCATCAGGCATCGACCTATGATGGATAAACTCTCAAATACAGAATGTGAAATAGAATCCATCCAACCACCCAGGTGCTAGCAAGGCACATATCCAAACAGACAAGTCATTCCAAAAACCACTCATTCACATAAGGGGGACTGAAAAAGTCCCCAAATCTCCAAATTAAATTTTTTTTCACAATCACAGTACTTTCTCATATATACTACATATATGGTAAAGATAAGGTAAAGCTGTCCCCGTGCTCAGCGAATTAAGCACTACGCCATGAAGGTATATGGGGGAGTGAATGTATAGATCCACTTTTTTTGACCTTGGCACTAGCTAGAGGTGAGTGGTTAGCTTCACACCCCTGCTGCTTTACCCCTGGGGAAAGAGGCCCCAGTACCCAATGGATAGGAGGCTGAGTGGACCCCAGAGGCAGCCTGGATGACTTGAAGAAGAGAAAATTCTTGACCCTACCAGGACTCGAACTTCAACCCCTCAGTTGTCTAGCCTGTAGCCAGTCACTATACCGACTACACTACCCTGGCTCTTTACACTACATATATATGAAAAAGTAAAAATAGGCACAGAAACTACTGACTAACTAACCAACAAATCAACCAACCAACTTCCTTTCTTACTCTGTGACCAGCCAAATTCCAGTCACAGGTGAAGCCCTAACTTAATGCCCTGGATCTGATTCAGTGTTGTCTGGTCAGGGCTATCCCAAACCATAGGGGGCATTAACTGATGAATGTGGAGCAATGGTGGAATAATGATTAGCAGAGGAAAACCAAAGAATCTTGGAGGAAACCCCGCTCCAGTGCCACTTCATCCACTATATTAGCTCAGATGAAATCAACTGTGACTGAACCCAAGTCTCTGTGCTGAAAAGTCGGTGTCTCCCTGAGCTATGGCATACAATCAAGACTAACTGCCTGGCTGACTAACCAACCAGCTAACACCATGGAGCTGAGCCCTTCTTGAGAAGCCACCAGTCGCCCAGCGACTCAAGAATTTCCCAGCATTTTATGCCACCCAAACATTCATTACCATGTTCACAAGAAGCTGCCAATGGTCCCCATCCTAGGCTTGATGAATCCAGTCCACATGACTCCACCCTATTTCTGTAAGACCTGTTTTTAATATTATCCTGCCACCTACATCCAGATATTCCCAATGTTCTTTTTCCTTCTGGCTTTATCACCAAAACTGTATATACATTTATCATCTCCCCCATGCTCACTACATGCACTATCCATGTCATCCTCCTTGACTTGTTCATTCCTTAGCAATATAAATTCATCAAAGGAGTACATGTGCATCAGAAGGAAATCTTCCAATACTCATTTATAGTTAGGTTTAATCCTTCAAATGACAAGCTTGCCAGAGAACAGCCTGCTTCATTGTAAATGCAGCTGCAGAGAGAAACTAACAACATTTACTCCAGTTACCTACAAATGACTCCAGGTACAGATAGATTCAAAGCCTAATCTTTCCTCTAAATAATGGTGTATCACACATGATGCCTTCTATTGAGAAAAATGTAGTTTGAAATGATTAACAGGCCAGTGTCTTCAACTGTGGCAGTTTTATTGTAGGTACACTGAGTCAATCTAATTGGCTTGTAGTGTCGAAAGCACTAAAGGTTACTGTTTTCTTACAGTGTTTCTCCTCACTTTTCTTCACGTTTTATTGGTTCACTCAGAGCCATTGCTTCGCCCTATCACTCTGCCCTTCAAAGAATTACAGCTTTAAGAGCCAGTGTTCTTTATATTTTGCTCCTTCCTCCTATTGGTCCTCTCAGGACCCCCACTCCCACCTTCCCCCTATACATATAACACTTCCTCCACACATGGTTTTCTCTTCTACTCTGAAGATGGAGGCAGCAGGATCTCATAAAACTTTGGGAACTATCCATCAATGTACACAGAAGAGAGAAATCTTCATAGGTTAGTTTAGTGCTTGTTAGTATATTGTTTAACTGTCTACTGATATTAGTGAAATATCATAATAGTCATAATATGATACTTTAGCAGGACCTACTTTTTCCTTCCTGATTTATACTATCTAGACATTCATCATGATCTTATGTTTGCCCACTTACTTCTGTGCACCTTTCAGACTTCATTCGCTCCCTGTGATGGCATGCAGAAACACAGGGCCCCTATTTTCAGCCATTTCTCTTGCTGTGTGTCCATCCTCGTTGATGGCGGTCAAGTCTGCACCATGGCGCACAAGGAACCGTGCCACATCTGTATGCCCACCCTGCACTGCTCTGTGCAGAGGCCTCCAATCACCTGCACTCCAGCTATTCACATCAGCACCCCGTTCCAGCAACAAGCGTGTGGCATTCAGGTGGCCATTCCATGCAGCATAGTGCAGGGGTGTGCTGTACCACCTGCATACAAAGTTTCACATTACAACTCAACAGATGATCATTTTATAATGATTACAGGCTTCTGGGATGTGCCGCTGTGTAATGCGATAGCTATACTTTGTCTAAGATATATATGAGGGTATGTCATACTTTGAGTAGCTATCCTTATAGAAGAGAAGTCATGTGTGTTCAACAATATCTCCAATATAGTGATTCTGGTTCTCGCTGTAAGCTGCAAATAGAATGACACAATCTATGTTGCCATCTGTATACGACACATCCTGAAGGATGTTTCAGACACAGTTTATGTACCAATGTTCACGAAGAACCCACTGCCACTTCCATCCTTAAGGTAGAATATGAGGACAACAAGTTCCTCCAGAACACCGATACCAGTCTAGAAAACTACATGGCTTCACATTCCAGAATACTGCAACACTGGCACTCATTGCTGTGGGAACTTCAAGTGTTACACACATCAACATATTGGATTGTATTCATTTTGACTACTACCTGAATGAAACACATTCTATTTGTAGTACTTATCTGTCCTCTTACAGAGAGAGGGGACCAGAAATACAGCAAAGCTAGCACAGCACACCATGTAAAAGTTTATTAACTTTCGAAACAACATGCTGGCATTTTACAATGTCACAGATGTTTCTTCTTTTGTGAGTAAATAATATACACACTGTGAGAAAAAAATGCAGGAAAATATCCCCCCCAAATATTTCTTGTCCAAGTAGTTAATATAAAGTTCCAACACATGTCACATGTTTCTTAAGATAAAAAATGTTGGTACTTGGCACATGTATGGTTGGATGCAGTTTACGATGAAGTTCACTAAGTAAAGATGTGACTTTATAAATCAAAATTGTAAATTTTCACTCCTGACGCACATTTTACATGTTCCATCAATGGGTAAAAGTAGCAGAATGATGTCCAGAGAGGTATCCAAGATCTCTGTCCTTCTGTTCCAGTTCATCACACCATAAAATGCCTATTTACACCCTGACAAACAAGTACTGTTGACAGTCTCTGAGAATGAGGGCTGTAGCAATCCAATGGGTGATGAAGCTTATTTCCACAGGTTACCAAAAATGCTAATGGTCTAATTATCACATGTGCATCATTAGTAATTGAGGGGCACACAGTAGCATAGTTGGTTGAGGCAATATGCTACAAGACTGAAGGTTGCAGGTTCAATTCCCAATGAGGTCACTGGATTTTTCAATTGGCCTAATCCTTCCAGCCACACTATGGCCCTGGAGTCGAGTCATCCTCTAACAGAAACGAGTACCAGGAATCTTCAGGGGGGGGTAAAGGACAGCCAGCACATAAGGCTGACAACCTCACTGCCATCTGTGAGCCGACTGTCTAGAAAACGTGTGAGCCTTGATATCTCACAATCCTATGGGCCTCCTCAGCCTGTTACAGGGATAGCTCTACCTTTCACCCTTTCTCAGTAGTAATTATACGAACAAACAAAAAAAAAACCTCCGTGGTTTTAGTCCGCAAATGAACTTTACCGACAATTATACCTATAATTATACACGCTTTTAAATTGCTAAATCACAAGATTTATGACTATATTATGAATGTCAGGTGTACGTGTATTTGTTTGTTCGTGTGTGTGTGTGTGTGTGTGCGTGCATGTGTGCTGTCAAAAATTTTTGTTCACATCAAGGGAATTTCACACTAAGAGTTCTAGGAACCACTGAGGTAGACAAGTACCAACATTCTGTAGGAACCTGCCGCCTCCGTCCTCCTCCCCTTCTACCGCGAAAAAGGAGTTTCTCTTGAAACATTGGTACTCACCAAGCAAATCTACCCAGTGTCAAACCCCAGATAATCTTGACACCACTCTAAGAACCTCGAGTCTTACACAGTCTCTCAATGTTATCACAAACTGAAAACAATAAACGAGTCACAACTTGGACTCCCATTTCCCTGCACAGAGATTGTTCAAAAAGGTCTAAATGTGGATTCCCTGGGACAGTGGACTGGAAGAAGACATCTAAAATCTGAAACATAATGTACCTGTTTCCTGCTGATACATTTGCACCAATATCGATAAGATGGCGTATGACCTCAGTGTGCCCCTGTTTGGCAGCCTGATGCAGTGCAGAGCGCCCATCTTTGTCTTCAATCATCAGCTTTGCTCCATTTCCAATAAGCATCAGAACTAATGTAACATCTCCCAGTTCTGCAGCCCGCAACAGTGGCAGTTTTCCTGTGTGGTCTGCAATATTGGCATCACTGCCTGAATCCAGCAATATCTGTAGGACCACTGGTTCTCCATACTCCACAGCAGCTACCAGGGAGCTCCACTTGCCAGTGTCACGTTTATGTGCCTGTAGAAACTGCAGGAATTCCTTCAGGTGCTCCTTCCTTCCCTGCAGTTCTCTTACCTGCATATATACGCATCATTTGTTGTACTAAAAATCTGTAATTTCTGCATTTGTTACTGCAGCCCCAGCAAGTGCTACGTTCTAATTTCTCAGTAACAGCAAATAATGCAATCCTATAGGCAGTCAAAACAATTACATACAGAGGGGTGAGAAAGCAGTGAAATTTAACTATTTAGGAATGACAGTAACAGATTAAAATTAAACTTCTGTCTTATGGGATGTGACACCATGCAGTGTGGTAGCCATCTACCAATGTTTCAGAGGAATGTGCTGCATCCATCTTCAGGGTACAAATTAACTGTCACACCCAAGAGACAGCAATTTTTATAGTCACTACCATAAGAACAAATCTTACATAATTTTATTGTCAGCTTGTTTATAAATGTCTGTAATTACAAGTCAATGAAAGTATTGGTGGAGAATGAACGCAGATAAAGCTATATGATTATGATAAGAGATGGAAATGAGAAACAGCCATAGTACAACTACAGTGGCCACATGGTCTAAGGCACGAAATGTCTTCACCTGCTCAAAAACTGGAATCATAGGTTCGAATCTCACTTGAGGCATGGATGTATGTGTATGTTTATTCTGTGTTTGTGCTCTCCTGTGTGCAGCTAGCAGCCTTGCAACAGGCTGATCCCCCATCCAAGGAGCCCTACTGACTGTGTAAAAGATCAAGAGACTGAAAAAGCAGCCAAGGTCAAACAGAGGGCATTATCACCTGGAATCGCTCCTTGAGTATCCATAGGATCAGGAAAGGCATCAGGCAAAATTAACCTGATTTCAAGGGGCACTTAAGATGCATGAAATACATTAGTTGCATCTTTCATCTTTTTACAAGATATCAAGGTCAGCTTCACTTGTTTATATAAAACTTAATATTTTTGTTCCCATAAAAGTTGTACAGCAAATAAATACAAAGCCAACGACCATAAATTGAGTACCATTCAATAATGATGGATAGTGCCCAATACATCAGAGACATACAGTCAGAAATAAAAACACTCACCGTGGCAAGTAGCTGCTCCTGCAGATATTTGTCTGACGGTGGCACTTCGGTCACTGCCTCAGCTTCTCTTGTCTCTAACCGAGCTGTGAGTAGCATGATGTGTTGAGTTTTATTACTGAGCACCTGTTTCAGGGCTGACACCTGTGCTGTACAGTTGCGATTCTCAACTTCCAAAATCTGGGCATGGCCCTTGTGTTTCTTCTTGTCAGTTACAAGCTCTAGCCCATATTCCTTTTCCTTCTGCAGGTCTGTTTCCAGCTGCATAACCAGTGTGCGGGCTGCTTCAAGTTGAATGAGAGTCTCCTGCACATGCCTCTGTTCTTTCTTAACATGGGCTGCCAGCTCTTCATTGACCAGGGCTTCCTTTTCCACTCTGAAACAGCAATCCATGCCATTACAGATATAAATTGCTAATGTCAAGTGTTTTCTGTATGGGTGTGAAATCTGGCATCTCAACCTACAGGGACACGCTGACAGGAAACAAATATTATGGTAATTGAATTGAGGATGACAAAATGAGCATGGCATGTAGCACACAGGGAAGTATGAGAAATGCATAAAATGTAGAGTTATCCCTGTGCTTAATTAATTAAGCACTATACCGTGAAGATGTATGAAGGAGTGGAGATATGGCTCCACCATTCTTGACCTCGGCATTAGATGGAGGTGAGTGGCCAGCTTTGAATTACGCATACAAAATATTAATTGGAAAACCTGAAGAGAAGAAACTATTTGGAAGACATAGCAACATATGGAAGAATATTAAAACATATCTTAATGAATCAGAGCTCAGTCTGGCAACTTCTGGCTCGCTTGTCTTCCTCTTCGACCCTTAAGATGTAAACAGTATGCTCCTCCAAAACACTGGTCTTCTACCAGACTATATGGTGTCACAAGGTATTACTCTTAATAGTGGCTGTGTTGGCATGTAATGGTTGTCCAGTAGTGCCTGAACAGACTCCTGTAGACATGGGATCCACTGCCACAAAACCCATTATTGGAGTCTGTCACATGTCAATTAAAGTTGGTCTGCAACCACATGGCTTCTTTCTTTAAGACCCATTTTAACATTATCCTCCCATGTATTCTTTGCTTTCATCATTAGTACTTTTCCACAAGGCTCCCACAACCAGCACATCAATATATGCCTTCTATGTACTGTATTTCACATCTGCTCACTGCAGTACCCTGCTGCCATATCTTCTTTTAGTGAGACCCCTGGTTGCAAGTAACACTGTAGGACTATATTTCTCTGCATTATGACTGAATAAATATTTTTATATGCTACTTAAACATGTTCCACACAGCTTACAAGTTTTGTTTAAATCTATACAACTGTTAAATTTTAATCAGTATTTTAAAAAGGTATTACTTTTGCGCCATCATATATTGCATTATAAATGATGTCTTCAGACATAAAATACTCACTTTTAATAAATAATTTAATATTTTGTGGTCATTTGTAGCAATATCTGTGTGCTTTATATAAATCTGACAACAGGAATATTATACAGAAGATTACCTTGGCAAAGAAAAAAGACAGGAGCAAATGACCCAGATTTCTTATTGCTTTAAACGGACACATTTCCACAGTATTCTCTAATACAATCTGTTACAGTTTATAACATTAATTCACCAATTAATTCTGTTTATTATGTTTCAGCTTGTACAGGATCATCATTCCATTCAAGATATTATTCTGGAAGTCTGCCAGTGTATCTGGCCATGGGTATTTACTCCAGAGACACGTTTCCAATCCCAAGCCTACAAAACAAACTATGCTACAGAGTTTGATATGTGTATATTCATGGACTCGAGAAAACTTTTTCATCTCTATCGTAGCTTATTTAACAACACTGCCAATATCTGAGACTACATAGCATAGAATGCTATGATGAATATTAAATAACGAATGGGATGCAGAAGTGCTCATAGCCTGAGGTACTACTGCAGTACTTGCCAGGACAGGTTAAGAAAAATCATGATGTACCTCGGTAAGGATAGCAAATCTCTGGGCTAAGAATTGAACCAGGGACTTCCCGAATACATAGCAGGACTGCTAACTACTCAACTGCAGTGTTCTATGAGATGCTGGATTGAGTTACGAATTAGTGATCAGTGATGACCAAGGGACTGATATGGGCTTAATCAGATCCTGCACACTCCTACAGCTGGACCTGCCTCAGACCCAAGGAGTCAGTAAGCAATCTTTTATTCGTTTTTATTATTGTTACATTCATCTTCTTTCTCTTCTCTCCTCCATCCTTTATTCCTGTTCTTTCTTTCTTTCTTTCTCCAATTCTTTTTCCTTCTTCTGTTCATCTTCAGTGTCCATCCCCTGTTCTAATAGATCCGTGATTACAAGTAATTGTAATCATTTCACTAATGCACACACTTTACACAGCACACATTTAAGTCTTTTCAGTCTGCTGTGTCTTCACCAGTCTTCTGGCAACGGCTTCCAACGGAGGACATTCTCCTTCCTCTAGATTCCCGAACCAGCCCCGTACCTCAGCTACAGAAACTCTCAACTAACTGACTGACTGACTGACTGACTGAATCAATCACTCACTCACTCACCCACCAACCAACTCAACTCAACTCAACTGTCCTGCTTATAACACCTCAGCATGGACTGTGCAGAAAACACTGTTCCTCTGTTGCTGTTTAGGGGCCACTGCCCAGTAACGGCCATTTTCTAGTTGTCTGTTGCCTATCAATGGGTCTACATGCCATAGTAATGTTGTATTGTAGCATCCTCTTGCACTGTGTCTACTTTTTAATCATGTATGCACTGCCACTTCACATGCAACTCACATTAAAGTTTTAGAATTCAAAATTAAAATTTTTAAGTTTGATTTGTTTCATCCTGGTTCGTCACACTAACAATATTATAAAGGATTAATTAATTCCACCCAGTGTGACTGATAAAGTTGTTTTCCTTTTTAATATTTTATCCTTAACATGTTTCGGTCTTATTGACCCATACAATTAGAAACCACTATTACAATATGTTTTCTGAGTATTAATATATGCATACAATATTATCATAATACAATGAGTACAAAATCATATTAATAGTGGTTTCCAGTTTTATTGATATCCTTCTGAAGATGGTCTATATGACCGAAACATATTAAGGATAAAATATTAAAAAGGAAAAACACTTCATCAGTCACACTGGACAGAATTAATTAACCTTTTATAACTAAGTTTTTAAAACTCTCAACTGTTTCAAGTTGCATGTCTTTATTTTTAATATGTCTATTGCACAATATGTTTCAGCCTATTTGGCTATCATTATGTGCATTCAAATTGTTGGAGAAATTGCTGCACTTCTATACACTGTTGTAACTCATGTCGTTACGTTTTCCTTATTTTATGATATCTTAAAATCCAAAATATAATTTCGTTTTTGCACAGCATGTGTTGTATACTGGTATATTTTTGCAGTGCTGTACATGTTTCCTTCTGTTGTGCTGTATGTAGATATTATACAATTCTTCCTTCACCCTAATTCTCTTCTACTGCATTTCCATTTCCTCATTCTTTTATTTTTCCATCTATTCTTCTGTTCCATCTTTTCCTCTTCTTTGTTCTTCTTCTGCTCTTCTGATCTTCTTCTCCATGCCCTGGCATGTACAACTGTGTGCTCAGAGACTGAGAGGGCCAGTAGCAGAGGCTCCGCTGAAGGGCAGCTCAGACCCTTATCTTTCACTGAACTTGCCTGGAAGGATGGAAAGTATAAAAATCCATTAATCACAATATACAGCTTTGAGATATGAACCATGGGGCTTGTCTCACCTGTGCTCCAACTCAGCAGCCTGCAGTTTCTCTTTCTGCAACCGCAGTTCCAGCTCCAGGCAGCGGTTGTTCTCCTTCTCGAGAAGCAGCTCAACCACCACTACACACAGATGCATTTCCGCTGATCGCTGATCACCTAACTGTCTCAATCTGCCAGCCCGAAGTGCTGCACCTCGCCTGCGCCTCTCTGCCAGAAGCAGTCTGTGCTGCTTCTGTCTCTCAAGATCTTTAGTCAAATCAATAAATTTTTCCCTTTCTTTCTCAAGATCTGTAGACATTTTCAAACACTGGTTTCTTACTTCTGCTAGATTTTCAGACAGTTTAACTCTGTTCTCAATTTCCAGTAAGGTAGCCAGCTGCATCAAGTAATGTCCCATTTCCTTCTCTAAGCTTTTTGCCAAATGTAGTCTACTTTCTATATCTTCATTTAGTTTTTTGATCAGATTGGACCTAAGTTGCTTTTCTTTCTGTAAATTTTCAGCCATTTGTAAATCATATTCATGTTTTGCTAGCAGTTTTAAAGTTAACTGGTGACTTCGTTCTTTTTCACTTTCCAATTTTTCAAACAACTCAAATCCTTGCTTGTTCTTTCTTTCCAGTTCTTCAGCCAATTGTAACGAATGTTTCTTTTCATTCTCCAGCTCTTTGTCCAACTGTGATCCTCGTTTCTTTTCATTTTCTAATTCCTTGGACATTTGCCTTCCATATTCCCTCTCTTTTTCTAAATATGCTGCCAGCTGTGATGAATGGTTTCTTTCATTCTCAAGCTGTTTATCCAATTGTAATCCTCGTTCCTTTTCAGTTTCTAATTCCTCGGCCATTTGCCTTCCAAACTCTTTTGCTTTTTCTAAATATGCTGCCAGCTGTGATGAATGGTTCCTTTCATTCTCAAGCTGTTTATCCAATTGTAATCCTCGTTTCTTTTCATTTCCTAATTCCTCGGCCATTTGCCTTCCATACTCTTTTGCTTTTTCTAAATGTGCTGCCAGCTGTGATGAATGATTTTCTTCATTTGCTAGCTGTTTACCCCATTGTAATTCTTGTTTCTTTTCATTTTCTAATTCCTCGGCCAATTGCAATCCATTTCCTACCACTTGGTTTCCGTCACTTGACCTCAGACACACAAATTTTCTGTCACTGATCGATGCAAGCAACCGGTGTCCTCGCTGTTTCTCCCATTCTAGTTTCTCGTGTTGCTGCCGCAACTGTGACTGAAGCCTTTGGATGACCGCCAACAGTTGCACTGAATCTTGGTATAAGTCCTCTCCCAGAGAGCAGGTAACTTCTTGAGGTTGCAGATTGACACTGTGCTCTGATAATTTACAATCCTGTGCCTGGTGAATGGCATGCAGGAACAGTAGCAACAGTAGCAGGTGAGCGGTGCCATTATGGTAGAGCATCGTTGATGTACATGCCTCTATGGTAAAAATAATTGAATTGTTTGATTCAACAGCTCCCAGTTCTATAGACTAGCTTCATATCTCCTTCAATTTAGGCTAAAGATGGTCCATTCCTGCTTCAGTCTGACAGGTCCCAGGCTCACACCGTGGTCTCTCTTCCAACCTGCCTATATATCCTAACTTAACTTCAACCTTGAAGATGTAAACAGTATGTTCTTCTGAAACCACGGTATATGCCTACATGGCTACACAGGATCACAAACCAGAAAACCACAGTTTGAATAATCACCACTGCAAAAACTTCAAAACCAATATTTGTATTCATGACCTACCTCAAATCAACATTACTGGTAATCAAGAATTAATTCTGTGAAACTGTCAAGTTGGTATTTCTGATGAATGATATTTCAGATAGAATGACATGAGTATGATTTTCAAAAATAAACTTCATGAAGCTCAGTCCATTGCTAACTTTGAAAGCAATATCAAGAAAACTGTTTTTCAGCATTTACAGCTCTTAAAATTTTATTTGTAACCCCAGTGTGTCAAATTTTGTAACATATTCTAAAATGCTCTTCATCATTTTGCACAGCATGTAAATAAGGATTTTTTTTTATTCACTTAGTGGGGTGTGGAGTCCAACTAGGTCCACTCAGCACGGTGGCCACTGATTGGCCTATTGTACCTGCCCCAGGTGATTATGATGATGGAGAATTTGGTGGAATGAAGATTGGCTGGCAGGGGAAACCAAAGAACTTGGAGAAAACCCACCCCAGCGCCACTTTGTCCACCACAAATCCCACTTGACCAGACCCGGGATCGAACCCAAACTGCCGCGGTGGGAAGCCAGTGACTAACTGCTTGAGCTATGGCATGGCCTTGGATTTCCTTACTTTAGCATTTATAAATCAATATTAAAAATGTTGCCATTAAGTGGGCAGCATTCTGCTTCACATGCTGTTGGTTATGAATTCAAATCCTAATCTGGAGACCAGCTATCATGACTGAGATTTTATTGTGGTTTTCCTCAGTCCCTTCAGACATGCTTTGGGAGCACCTCAAATAAGGTCACAAATACTTCCTTCTGCATCACTTCCAATTCGTTATTAACAAATAATTTTATCATCTGACACAATACGCCATGAGATATGGACAGCATCATTATATAAACCATAAATAAATGAAAAGTAAAATGTAATCATAAAATTCTAAAGATAAATTACTCCTTTGGTTAATTTTGTCTTTTGTACACATGTGTAACCACTGTCTTAAATGCAACACTTATTTTCATGTCTCATGCATCTTACTACAACATGTTCCAGCCTAGTTCAGCCAACATCAGGTGTACACACTCTTGCTGAAACTGTTGCATGTCATCTTTGTATGTCACATAAGAATGCATTGTTATCTTTAATTCTAAAACCTTTAATATTCATAAAATTGTTGATTCAGCTGTGTTGTTTGTTGCAGTGGTGTGTGGTTATCAACTCACTACTGAGTCAGTCTGTTCTGTGTACATACAGATTCTGAATGTTGATTATTGTTGATCAACGGCACTGACTTTGTGAAAGGGGAATTTGTTTTGGTGAAATATAAAATAAACTGCTTGTGCAGCAAGACTTTCATACTGACTTAAAGTATAATATAGCACTTCAAGAAATACTGAAAATAATGAGCTTGTGATTTATACAGTACTCACCCATTTCATCAAGACATCAAGTGACCATCTAGCATGGAAATAAACCAATCACAGCTGAAGCCTCAGCATCAAAGCCAAGGTCAGAGGCCATTGATAAGAAATGGAAGCATGCTGGCAGACTGCCATACCACTGCCACACATGCATGCAGTGCTCTAGGGGTGGCCAATCATTTGCACCATAATGCCTGCATTGTATAAATTTCATGTCACAAGCAAATTCAATATACTGTGACCTGTTGCGCAATGGAGGACCCCTCCTTCCCCAGCGGTACGTGGCAGCATCGTAGCGCTGTCATTACTATGGTAATAGGCGACTCAACACCCCGCCCCTCTCCCCATGGTGACATAACATGCAACGCAGCTGTGACATGGGTAACAGGCAACAGCGGTACCCATTGCGTAAGAGGCAGGCGTTGCGACTATATAAGGGAACTACACAGCTGCCGAAGGCAGTTAAAAGTGTATCAGCCGCTGAAGTGAGTTCTCAAGGCAGCACCTACGAGTTGAGTTGGAATATAGCAGCCGTTGCGGATAGAAGAACCGGACGCATGTGTGATAATCAGTGATGGTTCGTGATAACTGAGTAATAATTGGGAGTGTGTGACACAGTGACACTTGTATAGCTCCCGTATCGTAATTAATACGTGTATACTACTGAGGAGAGAGTGAACTGATTAGTGCATAGGGTTTGTAAAGTGTGGAAGCCTGTAACATTGTTATATTTTAATTGTAGCCGATACTTGTAGGTTGTTAAATAAACCAATTAACAATCCGAACGGCGTATTCAGTAAACTAAACACGTTACAATACATACATATAAACAAATTTCTTCTTCTGTTGTGGCATGCCTGCAAGTCTCTGTTTGCAACAACTAGCTGAATCTGTTTCAGGTAAGTATATTGACTACAGTTTAGTTTCATTATTTTGAAACACAGAGAAACCAAAGCAAAATCCAGCAAATGAATCCATATATTGAATCTGATGTTCTCACAGCATAGTGACCATGATGAGTTCTGTCTTCTGGAACGTCATGTTGTGTAGTTCAGTAGAAGCCCACAAACATTTCAATGGACATGTGGGAACATCCCACATACTATCATGCTGTTTCGCAGATCAACGGACAACACTCACTCCTGAGTCATTGCTGCACATTGCTGTCAGCTCTCATATTTATACAGCACCCGATGCCCAACCCACTTGCAGACCATCACCACTGACCAGGGATGCCAGTTTGAATCTCAACTCTTCCAATCCCTGGCCAAGCTGGGCATCGAGTGCTGTATAAATATGAGTGGTGGCAGCAATGTGATTGGTTAGCGTGAGTGATGGTGAAAAGTGAGCTAGACAGTGGGTGCTGTATAAATATGAGAGCTGAGAGCAATGTGCAGCAATGTGCTATTGACTTAGGAGTGAGTGTTGTCCGTTGATCGGCAAAACAGCGTGATAGTATGTGGGATGTTCCCACGGACATTTACCAAACTACATGGCATCACAACCCAGAAGATAGTCCTTTTAATGCATATGTAATTTTTGAGAAGTAATGATGGAAAAGCAAGGGGGAAGGGGAGGTTGTGGGGAACAATTATAAATGAAATTCTTAGATAAGTTGGAGCTCATAACTTAATGGAGCTAGAAGGAAAACAATTACAAAGGTTTGGCCGTGTAAACAGACAGGACACCAAGAAAGGAATTAGAATTAAAAGGAAAAAGACTATGAGTATGGACCAACCTGGAACAAGATGGTTGTGCCATGTACTAGAAGACATTATGAATCATGAAAAGAGATTGCAAGACAGTGTGGGTTTGTGGACAGAAAGAAGAGACTGGAGACTTCTGATTCACTGATTCACATAAAACAGAAATTGTGTTAGGAGGAAAAGAAGTTTATTTTCAGTCCCTTTTCCATGCTGTATATCTGTAGTGTCAACTATGTTTCAGAATAAAGGAGCAAACTCATGAGATAACTTCTTGCAGTGAGGGAGCAGTAATAACTAACTAATAGCAGTCAGCAATGAGAAAGCCACATTAATAAAAAATCAGTGAAAATACGTTTTTATTATGTTAATGTGCACCTTCAGTGGATAAACATATATCAGTATGGATGATGAAAAAATATGAACAATAAAAGGAGAAAAACGGAAGAGAACAGCAAAAAGGGGAATAGACAGGAAAGGGTGTACATGACAGGCTGAATACAAGTAGCAGCACATTACATGAACCACTTTAATGACATTATTACAATTTGCGTTGGATTTCTGAGCTAGAGTTTAATGCCTGACTTCAGTTTTCAGGGATAATTCATGTTTTAGAAAACATTGCAGTTGAAAATGTTGGGGTTATCGGTGGGTTTAGAAGGCCTTATATAAATCTAATGAATGTATAGGGGGTGGGCTTTCTCGGTCCTTGCACTGCGACCTACAGTGATCTATTGATGATGTGTTCTACTTGCTGGCTGCTTGACTTACTCTTTGACCCTGAAATCGAGGCAGCACATTCCTCCGAAATGTCGGCAAATTTCTTACCAAACAAGACGTCACATCTTTCAAGACAGTGTTGTTCAAGAATTACAACATTACTCACTTCACGAATAAAATCAGCATCATTAAAACTGTGTCATCATTCCATTTCATATTTCTTCTCCACATGACACAGTGAGAATCTTTATATTTTCATCTGTAGTAATGGAGTTACTGTTACATTTACTTACTATAATTTCGATGCCGGGGCACACACATGCTTCACGCCTAAATTATCGGAGGAAACAGGACACACACACAACACATCAAAATACCCGTGCAGACACTGTAACACGCATAAATTGGGGTAAATTTATAGACATGGCTGCGTATACTTCATATCTCCCTCGTTTTACCTTCTCCTCAACCCATCATCTTCACCGCCATTCTGGCCACGGAACGCACGGAACCACGGAACCATGGGCCTTAATGGCTTTCCTGTGAACTCTACATGTTCACCAACATATTTAATATGGAATATCAATAAATTTTTCTGTTCATAGCTAATGTTTGTGTTTTGTTATAAAAAGCCATCTCCTCCTTACTGAAGATGAAAATATCAGGAAACATGAGAGAAAAGGCGACAAAAATAATGAATTTTGTTTCATGATGTAAATATGTATTAGACCATAACACGACATACATCGCTCTTTCAAAGTACGTAAATATTACTAATTAGAATATCTAAAGGAAGATAAGCTAACGAAATTATTTGAAACCTAATTACAAATCTAATCAATACCTTTCGTCCCATGCACCACCGGATAATACTGTACATAAACAGCACTTTATTTACAAAGAATATGCATTAACAAAACTAGGAATTAATTTCTACAACCTTCCGTATTTCGCCTCCCTAGACGATTTCCAAAGTCATATTTTGAACAAGAAACCTTGCGGCGGAAATTTCTTATGTACGTGCGATGTCCTGTATGGCCGTAATTTCACCTCTGCGATTAAGAATCGCTACAGCCTAATACAACCACGAATCGGTGTAACTACAGAGCAGTGACAGAAGGATATATCTAAATCCTATTCAATCTTAAATTTTGCCGCTTTTGAAGTGCATGATCCCCATAAATTTAGTCAGTGTATGATATAAGAATGAAACAAATATACCAGTACAATGTTATGGCAAGTGCCACATTCCTTGATAGCCAATTGATTTGCTCTACGTTTCCTGTGGTCGGCAACATTAAGACTTCGATTTCTTCAATGAAATAAAATTCAAATAACTGAACTGCAATGTTTTTGTTCGGTTTGAGGTGCGGCTTGCGGTTTAGTCTAACACTATTTTCCGTTTACAATATTATATTTAAGGATCCTGTTACACTCACACAATATATATGAGACAAACTACGTCTTAAGTGCAACAATTTTATTGTAGTTCTTTCTTCTTCCCTTTCTCCACACTACATGTTTCGGCCCTAAATGGCCATCATCAGGTGTGTATTCTTACGTAGCTGCTACACTGCCCGTAGTTTAAAATTTAAAATCACCAGTCTTTCCAATTGTATGTATGTATAAAATCTTTGTTAACCTACACGCGTCAGTTTGATTTCTAAAATTTGTACTTTTTTAAAACTTCAATTCAAATTAAAATGTCTATAAATCTTCTTTTCTTTTTCCAAATGTTCAAAAATTAAAATTTTCTCGGGGTACACGCCCTATGTCTATAGTACTGCAGCGGCTACTTGTTTTATCGCTGTTCAGGTAGTGTTTTGTGTAGGCTCTCTCTGTGTGTCTCGCTGCTTATCTTTAATACGTGTGCGATAAAACAAGAAGTAGCCGCTGCAGCACTATAGACATAGGGCGTGTACCCCGAGAAAATTTTAATTTTTAAACATTTGGAAAAAAAAGAAGATTTATAGACATTTTAATTTGAATTGAAGTTTTAAAAAAGTGCAAATTTTAGAAATCAAACTGACGCGTGTAGGTTAGCAAAGATTTTATACATACATACAACTGGAAAGACTGGTGATTTTAAATTTTAAACTACGGGCAGTGTAGCAGCTACATAAGAATACACACCTGATGATGGCCATTTAGGGCCGAAACACGTAGTGTGGAGAAAGGGAAGAAGAAAGAACTACAATAAAATTGTTGCACTTAAGACAGAGTTTGTCTCATATATACTATTTTCCGTATTTCTTCCAGCAGTATTGGGTTATCTGATTTTGTGTTATTTGGTTGGTATGTGAAACAACAGGCATTTGTTTCGTTATATGACAAATTTAAATTATACTTCGGAGTTATATTTCATACCATGTATTTTAAGATTCAAATATTAATGTTTCATACTTTTGTACTTCTCAGATTAGGTGAAAACAAGAGATTCAGTGTTGAAACAAAGGAAGTGGTGAAGTTGACAGAAGAAGGTAGGACCCAATATAACCTCATACAACAAAGGACTAATATCCCTCAGTATGGTTTGTGCTGGAAGTCTTCGGTAGTTTTCCTTCATGAAGGCTGTAGGCGCCTTACGGAAGATTCTCAGATTGATATCGCTCTAAGATTTACAGATTGTTTTCTGAAAATGTCAGGTCACAAGCCATATGAATGTGAAAAACATTCAGTACGGGAAGGTTGTATTAAAAGTATGTCTGATAGGGCTTTCAATGCATTCACAGAATTTTACACACATGTATACAACATATGTTTCTTCCTCCAGAGCCAGATTTGGCATGAAGAGACTGAGAAAACCATAGATAGGCTATCAACAAGTTCTGCCCATGTAACAGAACAACTGGAAGAAGCAGAGGTAGTTCAGAGAACACTGTTGCAACAACAAAGGGAAAGCATGTCTGTTCAACAGGAACTTTTAACTAATGGATTATCATTAAGTGAAATACTTCACGTTTCCCAAGATAATCTTAATGCAATAATGAAAGAGTTTCATACTTCAACTCTTGAGCAGAAGAGAATTCTGTTTGAAGTGTTTGACAGATTAACATCCTTACAAGCTTGGGCAATTGGAGAAATTTCATGGTTTGATACAATCATGTTCTACGTTAGTAGTATTATAGTTTCATATGTTGTCACAGCAACACCAAGAACCCAAGAGGCAAGAATTTGGATATTTCTTATCATAACAGTGAATGCTGTAATTGAAAGAATTGTTGTTCGTCAGTTTCTTCAAGATGATGTGGAGCACCTCAATGAAACATTGTACTGGTGGATTTCGCAGTGCAGGAAAGTAATGTTAACAGTCTGTGTAGTGTGGATAGGTGTTACAATTTACCAGTACTGTGATTATAATGCTGTCAATCACCAATTGCTGATTCAGATCCAGAAGCAGAACATGGAAGTTATTCATTACTTAGAGAAAATGAGAGTGACAGATAATGATCCAACCCCAAAACTAACACTTGAGAATAAGTTGCTAGAAGTAAATGATGCTCCATTACTTGAACCAGCAGAGTTAGCTGAAGAGATAAATATGCTTCCAAGGATGAAGATGTGTGTAAAGTCCAAGTCTCCAACACCAACACTGTCATTGGTTAGTAGGAACACAAGTAGAAGTGATGCCTACATTGAGAAACGACAGTCGTCTAGAAGTCTAGTAGAGATACAGACCCCTGGAGTACGCTACAGCTTGCGAAGCAAGCGAGGAACTCCATCAAGTATAGGAAAGGAAACCGTGTGAGACCAGGTTACAAGTCTAACTGTTGCTTGATGTAGTGTCTAATGTAACTAGGTCTTTCAGGGTTAAGCATCCAGTGCATGTTTACTAAACAGCTCCACTTAGTGAAGTCCTTCTTAATAAGCCAGTAGTTGCTTAGCTTGTTGAGAAATACTGAGCATTTCACAGAATCCAAAGGTTCATTATTGTATTCACAACAGCCTGCCACTGGTCCCTATCCTGAGCCCAATCAGACCAGTCCACCCACTCCCATCCTGTTTCTTTAATAAGTAAAAAGTAAAGTAAAGGTCTCCCTGTAACAGGCTGTGGAGGCCCATAGGGTTGTGAGATGTTGAGGCTCCCACATTTTCTAGACAATTGGCTCATAGATGGCAGTAAGGTTGTCAGCCTTACATGCCAGCAGCCCTTTAATCCCAAGAATATTTCAAGAATATTCCTGGTACTCATTTCTGTTAGGGGCTGAGTTGACCACAGGGCCGTAGTGCTGCTCAAAGGATGACGTCAAGTGAAAGAAAATCCAACTCATCGAGATTTGATCCCACGACCTTCTGGCTTGTAGCATAGTGCCTCAACCAACTATGCTAATATCCATTTTAATGTTATCTTCCCATCTATGTCTAGGTCTTCCTACTTGCCTCTTTCATCCAGCTTTTCCTACCAAAATACTGCATGCATTTATCTCCTATGCACATTGCATACCCTGCCCATCCCATCCTACTCGACTTGATCTTTCTAAAAGTATCAGGTGAGGAGTATAAATTATGAAGCTCCTCATCATGCAGTTTCCTCCATCCTTCAGAGGTGCAGATATTCTCAGCATCCTGTTCTCAAACACTCTCAGTCTGTGTTATTCTTTTGATGTAAGAGACAAAGTCTCACAACCATACAAAAGTACAGGCAGAATTAGTTTTTATGTATGTTAATCTTTACATTTTTCAGATGATTCTGAACTGAATGGAAGAAAATATTTCCTGAATTTAATCTGCTTGTAAGTTCTTCATGAATGCAATTCCAATCTGTTAGCATCATTCCCAAATACAGTAGAATGCTGATTATCCGAATTCATTAGTGATAAGATGGTTCGGATAACTGAATCTTATTCACAAAAAACACTGTTATAACACTATTATAATAGTAAAAGCTGAAGAACTTTTTTAAAACAGGTGAAACATGAAAATTTAATTAATGTGATTATAAATTAAAACTTCACAATTGAGAAGGTCCAACAATGATATTCGTTTAGCTGGCAATTCAGATAAATGGCGTCCTACTGTATCTGAACTCTACAGTGTATGTAAGTTTTGAGGTTTTCACGGCGATAACAATGAAGAAAATTGTCTTCTGGGTTTAGGCACCGTGTATTCTTCGTTTTGGCCAACGTTTCGGAGGAACGTAGCGCCTCCATCTTCAGAGCAGTTGAATAGCTGCGGAGAGCAGTAGCTGTGTTGATAGGATGTGGATGGTGCTGCTTATATACGAAGTAGGCAGGGGAGATGGTTAGGGAGAACGGACCAATGGGAGCAGTGGAGAGCGATTAAGGCCATATATGGTGTGTGACTAAGGGTTAGTGGGAACGGCCAGTGAGTACAGGAAACTTGAGGTCAATAGCACTAGGAAGTGCGGTAGTCAAAANATTTATATTTTATATAATTATAATTTATTTTTGGAACAAGTTTGGCATATTCTCTCTGCAAGAGAGATAACACTGATATAGCATACAGAAGCTACTCATGTTCATGGCTCATTTGGCACAGATATGCAACATGAACATAACTATTAACCTCTGTGTGGCTGAGACTAATGTTATATGCACTCACAATGTCATGCCCTTGTTCTGCCTGTATCATTTGGGGTGCAACCTTTAGAAATGGATGGGTCTCAGAGCCAGACTGGACACAGGGGGGAATATTTATACCTGGAAATAAAATTAAAAGGCATAAATTTATTTAAACTATTTTCATAAGATGTAGACAATAGCTTTTTCTTTATATATTAACATTTATCAAATAGTAGCACCAAACCAAAAGGGATGATATGAAAAAATGTTTTTATGTAACAGATCTTTTAATGATTAACATATTCAAATAATATTTTTATATATATATATAAATTATCAGAATAAATGTGCATGATGTAATAATGAAAGCCATATTTACTATGAATAAATTTTGTATATAATTTTGAATAATATCTAAAATGCATCAGCTATGTATTTATCTAAATTTGATTTTTAACAAAGCATTTCAAAATGTGGTACATGTATAGACAAACCACAACATTGCATGGACACTATTCTTTGTACCAAGATCTCAGAATGGTTTACCAATTTGTCATAAACATCCACTTTTATACTTTAATATGCTCTACGCATTCTCATGCCTTTGTGAAGCTGTGTGTGTGTATAAATGGTATTGCTAAAAATGTATATTTTACATTGTGTGATACTTCCAGAAGTCACACACTATCTTTATATCTGGAGCCCTATATAAATGTCTGTAATTCTGAGGGATTATTGTAATTTTACAATTCTGATGTAATAAAACATTTACAAAATGTTTCATTGATATTTCCTTTCGTACAAGTAGAAAATAACCATACTTAACAAATATTCAAATGCTCTTCAGACATAATATTTCAACATATAAGAATGTCTAAAACTCACATGAATCTGAATCTTAAGTACCGTATTTACGCATGTATAGGCCGCAAAAATTCAAGAGGAAAACTGGGGTGCAGCGTATATTCGAAATCACACTTCATTTAAAAAAAATTATATTCATGATTAGTAATACAGGGTGTAATACTCCTGAAATAATATTCCAAGAAAATTATTTTTTCTATAATTTCTGTCTGAAAATTTTGCTGTGGCCTATACATGCGTAAATACGTTATGTTCTTTGGGACACTACTGCATAATATGTAGGCTATTCTGATCAGTCATGAAAAATGTATTCATACTAATGCCATAATCAAATTAACCATATACATTTAAGTATGGTGTCACATGATGAAAAACTTATACTTTTTGTTCAGCAGTACATAAGAATAGAAACAGATCAAAGTTTTAACATTCCCGTCAACACTACGTGAAAAGAGGTGTTTTCCAAATTACAATACATGAAGCAAGTCATAGCCAAATTTAGTATGAACTAAGTTTCTCAAACTTCCATGTCATTAATTGACAAATAGTTGAAAAAATGTGAAATCAACTATACAGACATTTAATCTCAAAACCCAGAAGAAAAGTCTGAAGGTCTGTTACTACAAAGGGGCTATTAAACTAACCACATTTTGTGAACATGTAACATTTTAATAGACTTGAAAGGATTCTGATGATGGTCTATGCTGTACAGAACTGTGATTGACACTAGCTCTTTCTAACGGGCCCAACTGAGTAGGTTTAGCCTGCCCCATCCACCTGAGGATGGAGACAGATCCAGTCTCTGAAACATTGTGGTTTTTTGTCCTGTATACCAGACGATGGATAGAGTCCCAAAAAAGCCTAACAGTTCTGTACATGTAACATTTTAGTTAAAAGTCACAAAGTTCAAAAACATGGCTCTGCTTCTGCCATTAGGTGAAAGTATGAAACATAATCTGCTGAATCCATTAGGTGTAGCTAACCTCTTATCTCTGGTCTGGGGCACACTTTACCTTTTCCTGTTTCCCCCTTTTCCGGCTACAAATTCCCATTCAATTTTACACAGCTCCTTTTGGTTTGTTGTCTACAAGTGTGAGTGACCCTTTTCAGAGGCCACAGGATTTTACTTTTACACCAATCCCTTTGGTTTCCTTCTAGCCCAGTCTTTGTCTTCTTTACCTTATATCTTTGGCAATTTTTTTTTCTCCCATGTACTCTACCCCAAAGATGGGGGACATGTTCGAGGAAAATGCTGGTAAATATCGACCAGAACACCTGACATATCGCAAAAGATTAGTAATATTCATAGCCACTTCTGAGAGAACTGAAATCTCAGATTTTGCAAGTAGGAATTCATTCTGAACAGAGAGAGAAATTTGGAGCTCACACATACATTAATAAAATAATTTAGTATTAAAAAATATATACTTATTTTAATTCTGTACTGAAAGTTGCATACTTAATTTCACATGAGTCATGTGAGTTTCAACCCATTCAAAATGTTTGTACATTTTCTAAACCAATACAGTAGGTACATAGATGTTGAAATCACTCACCTGTAACAGGTGTTTACACAATTCTCTATCAAATTACACTCTCTTTGACCCTGTTATTTGATAACATTGCATGCCCTTATTCATTCCTTCAGGCTCCTTTTCAGTTACACATTTCTGCCATTAGTGCTATGTGATATGTATAAAAACAGTGCTTCTTTTCTGACGGTATGCAGTACCACCACCTTTTCCTTTAACAAAGGAAAACAGGCTAAAATGGACTCATTTATTTTGCTTTGCAAATACTGACACTTTTTCCATAAGAAAAAAAGCACCAGTTAAAAGTAATTGAAATTTTAAATTGTGAAATGTCATGAGCACTGGACAACCAGCACAGTATAAACAAATTTGTAAATAAGTAGCACAGTATCATGTTTAAAACACTATCAGTAAAACTTAGATATATTTTTTTCATTTATTTGGAATATTACTTATAAAATGGATAAACTAAACACAGCCACAATAGTATACACAGACCTACTCTAGATATGAGGGAGTGCAAATAAATTAAGAAAATATTTCAATACTGATATATTTCTTTCCAGAAAATTGGAAATGCAGTCATACTGCCAGTTTGAACGTTCTGCACTCAGTAACCCTACATACTGATAATTTAATTCCTTGGCTGATGAAAATTACTGTCTACTATGTTGTGAAACCATGAAGTCTCGTAGATCATTTCCTAAAAAGTTTCAGAGGAACCTGCTGTCTCCATCTTCAGGGCAGAAGACAAAGCCAAGCATGGAAAACAGTATGGATATAGGACAAGGGTGGATCAGGGATCTGAGTGAGTTTACAGCAGTAACGGAAACAATGTAAGGAATTAAGAATATGGTCCTTTGGATTGTACCAATGTATGGTTTGGAATATTATATTTAAGCATCCTGTTGCACTCTACACGATAAATGATACAAACTCCGTCCCAAGTGCAAACAATATATATTACATGTCTTTGATCTTGCTCTCTTCTACATTACATGTTTCGGCCTCTAACGGCCATCATCAGGTGTATACTCTTACGTTGCTGCCACAATGAACCCAGTCTAAAATTTAACATTTAAAAAACACATTGTTACTTTATTCGTTATTATCAACATCTACCTCGTTGATATCTGTCTGGTATGTAGATTATTTTGCACACGTCAATTTCGATTTCCCTGTAGTAGCACTATAAAATCTTTAGTTATAATTTTAAAGGATTTTAAATTTAAAATTTAGAGAAAATTTTAAAGGATTTTAAAATTATAACTAAAGATTTTATAGTGCTACTATAGGAAAATCAAAATTGACGTGTGCAAAATAATCTACATACCAGACAGATATCAACGAGGTAGATGTTGATAATAACGAAGAAAGTAACAATGTGTTTTTTAAATGTTAAATTTTAGACTTGGTTCAGTGTGGCAGCAATGTAAGAGTATACACCTGATGATGGCCATTAGAGGCCGAAACATGTAGTGTAGAAGAGAGCAAGATCAAAGACATATAATATATATTGTTTGCACTTTGGACGGAGCTTGTATCATTTATCATATGGTTTGGAGACAGTCCAACATTTCAGAGGAACACAGCGACCAAAAGTAAACCAAGCAAGAAACCAGCAGAAGCAGGTAGCAAGTTATGAAGATGGTGACAGTATATTCCTCTGAAACATGAGGCTGCCTCTGAACTACACAGTGTTACAATCCAAAAGATTGTAACCCTTCATAGCCACCGTTCTAAGTAACTCAACTTTAACAAAGTGTGAAGAATGTTGGCTCCTAGAAGGGCTTCTTTCCAATGGCACAGTGAACTGAGAAATAATGGCTGGGTTAACAAATAGGAAGTAAGGGGAAGAGAAACAGGGCCCATTTAAAGGGCTTATTTTCAAGGTTATAGTGAATGGGTGTAAAGAGAAAATGACAGAGTCTCATTCAGAGAGTAAGGGGAAAAATGAAGAAGCAGAACACAGAAGCAAAAGAGGGGACAAATTAAATAAATGGGGCATAGGAGGAGGGTGGAGTCCCTAAGAAAGGCAGAATTCACTGGAACTATGGCCGGGTTTGAGAACCAAATCACATAAATCGTAGACAGGAGGCTTCCTACACTCCTTCAGGTGTAGACGAGAGGTTTGCATGCCTTAAGCAATGATCTACGAAAGTACACACCATGAGAGCCTCAAACCTCCTTGAGCTGTATCCTCATCAATGTTACCTCACCTTTCTACACTTCCACTAATATACATTTTGCAATTTAAAATTATGTCATCACTTATGACACATACAATGAAAATTAAAAATTTACTGTGAAGTGTTTGATATAACTTAAAAAGTAAAATTACATTTTGCTGTAATCTATTTAGAACAGCCTCTGGAAGAAATGCAGAAATATTAACTTAAAAACACTTTTTTTTGTATCATGAGGTAAAGTGACCTTTTAAGTGGTGGACTGGAAAAGAAAATCCATTCTAACATACAACAAGGTATTATTATTGACATTTCCAGGGTACAAAATTGTTGGATAATTTACAAAGTCTGGTGCTGATAATATGGTACTAATAATAAAGTAGTGCCTTTTACAAGGTCACTGTGACATGAAGGCCCTGATGTTAATGGATGCTCATGTACAAGGTAAAGAGAGGAAGTAAAAATTTAAAGTTGCCCCTGTGCTTAAAGAAGCATAAATGATTAACATGTATATGGGAATGGAGGTATAGCTCCACAGATAATTAACCCTGGCACTATATAGAGGTGAGAAATTAGGCCAATTCCCCAGCTGCCTTACTGACAAGGAAGGAGCCCCTGATACTCACTGGATAAGATGCTGGGTGAGCCCGAGTTCTGTGGAGAAGATAAAAATCTCTTTCCCCTGCTGGGAATTGAACCCTGATTCCTTAGTTGTCCAGTCTGCAGTATAATCACTGTACCAGATAAGCAATAGCTTAGCTGGAGGAAATGAGACACACACAATTTTGGAGGGAAAAGCTTCTTGAAAAGTGGAACCTTGGGAAGACAGACAAAGGTGGAAGATAATATTATGCAGACATTTCTTAATTTGGCTGCAAAACAAAGGAACTGATTCATGGCAGTTCTTTTCATACTAAATACACAATTCTGCTAGTGCAATGCTGATGAAAATTCAACTGAATGCTTTCCTTTGTTACATAAACATGTGTACTTTTATTACCTCTCCTCCCTTTTCCAGTATTACTTTCCATTCCATTTTATTTGTCCATCAATTATTCCTCTCCTCCTTTCTTCTCCCCTCTCCTTTACCATCAAGCAGTTTACGTAAATCTAATTCAAAATATGCATTTTTTCACTACTCACATCGATGCATTGCATTTTTGTATACAGACCAAAATGTAGTAAACACTATGTTAGATACATCACTTTTGCATTTTGTTTCTATGAAAAATTGCATGAAAACTATATATCAACAAATCAGGAAACACTGCCCTGCTTGGACTAATTATATGATGATATCTTCTTTATGTTCATAAGTCCTGGTTGTCCAGTCTGTCATAAAATTCATGTCCCTGCATACTTTGCCATGTTTGTTAATACTAAACAATTATGATTAAGAATAAATTCAAAGAACCTAACTTATTCCAAGTATGGTTGTGAACAAATTCACTACAAAACACAAGTTTGTGATGTTAGGCATGGGCGCCAGGAAGGAGGGATAAGCCAGACATCTGCCCCTCCCTCTGGATTAAAAACAATTAGAACTGATAAAGAAGGAAAAGTACCAGATATCAAAATTATTAAAAAAATATTTTTCTGCCATGATTGCTGAAGGGTGATCAGTAAAAAAAGTCTTAAAAGGCTTCAACATAAGTCTATAAGAAAATTTTCTGGTTACTCCATTTTGAAAACATCCTGATGGTGCCCATGAAGTTATATATACACAAATCCACACGAATTCAAGCAATACCAACATTCTCACTGACAATTATTTTTGTTTCTCAATACAAATCTAGTGTGAATCACAGTTGTCACAAATTTTAAATAATTCTGCCAGAATCACAATTAAATACTGTTCCTCATTTCTTGATATATTATCAAATCAATCAACAATATTTGTTTAAAAAGAAAAGCTATATCTATGTATCAGCGTGAGATACTCAAAATTGTGGTTCAAATAGTAATCAGCCAATCTTCATACATCTAATAGTTGGGTTCAGATGCTGACTATAATGGAAACCCGTATTGGAAAACTCGCAACTAATAATCTAAACTTCTTACAGATAATATAGGCATTAATACAGTAATAAAAGAACAGTTCTTAGTTATATAAGTTCTAAACAGATGTAAAATTGTACTATATCCTTGTGAGAGGGGACCATGACTTTTATGTAGCCAAAGGTTAGGGACTGGTTTGGAATTTTGAATAGATTATAGCTTTCAGTTGCATATTTCACTGTTATAAAAGGAACTATGGTTTCATTTTTTAAATTCCATTCCTCCCCTCCTTTCACAGTATTCACTTAATCATCCACAATCAGATTATACATAACAATATGAATGGGTTCTCCCTGAAGAGAAACACATGACTTCAGTAAATTTGAACATAGTGAATATTAATTTTAATTTACTATTTTCAAGTAATATGATCAGAACTTAACACAAAACACGCCTTAAGATAGCCAGCTGGATACAACAGCAGTTTTTTGACTAACGTGTGCAGAACACAATAATCTCCTGAACAACTGTTCAGTAACACTAACCAACAGCAGCATGCTTGCTGCTCTCCAAGCTGAATATTTTGAAATGTTCAGGCATTTTTTGTATTTTTCAAAGAAAAAGGTAAGTGACGGAACATTTTTCTAATCTGCTCATAAACATACAGTGAAGTCACCCAACTGTACACTTAGGAGAAAATCACTACTGTAAACTTCTTAGTGAAAATCCCAGAAATCTTACAGTTCCCATATAATGAGGGGAGAAAATGAAATCATCAGTACTACAGTGTTGAGACAGAGGTAAGAACTACAGGAAAAAAAAAAAAAAAAAGAATTCCCCTGATGTTGCTACATTTGTGTTGCTATTATGGCATCATCTCTTATTTTCTGTATATGAGTGCTTTCATAAACTTCACAAAAAAATGCCAGCTTACAGGTTCGAAACAGCTGTTCTGCTTATTAACATCTCTTTCTGTGAGAAAAAGTAATTTTCATTGATTCAATCATTTTTCTGAGATTATACATCTCATTACATGAAATGCATGCTATATCATTCAGAAACATTCTTCTGTTTGGACTAGCTGCCTCCTATACAGCAGCGCATCACTCAGTGAGCATAGAAAAAAAACAATATTTGCTCAAAAACATTTAACCATACATACAAGTTAACCACTCATTTATCACAACATAAAACCAGGTAGTTTTGTATAATCCTATATAAAATGTTAAACAATTACAGCATATAATATTATATAAAACATATTTGCTCCCAATTTTTTTAAACTTTGCATTCCAGTAAAAAATAAAAACACACAACAACTATAGAACATCAGTGCCACAAATTACTTTAAAAAATCACGGTACTTGTCTACTAACAAGTGACCTAAGGAAGTTTAAAACTTTACTGCCATTTTGTCTGCCATGTTAGCATTGCCAACCACAGAAGTTTGTTCATACAAACAAAACCCAAAGTCTATAGTTTTCAGAACTGAACCAATGACATAACATTTTAGAAATGAAATGAAAAGCTTAATCTTGTGGGCTTGTTGTTAGAAACAAATGATGAGTTTAGGTTTAGGTGTTGTTTCTATTTCTGAGGTTGGCAGTGCAAGAGCTTTTAAAGTTACTTCGGTCATCCATGAATACACATGTACCAAAATCACAAATGAGCAGCCAATTTTTTATAAACTTGTCAATTCCAGGCACAATCATTCATGCAACTGTTCAGCAAAGTTAATAGGGCGACAAAAGAAAAAAAAACCTGTACAGACCAAAAACAAAGAAAGTATTTGTTGTAGCTTGTCTCTACAACATGAGAGGAGTGATATTTGTAGCAAATACCATTTTGATATCAAACGACATTCAACGACTACAAGCTATGTATATGTACCACATACTTTAATGTGGCATATAATAAAATTCTCTTAACGCTCTTGCGATCTTTTCAGTAGGTACATATATCTCTTCCAATTTACTTATCTTATACTTGACTACAATTAGGACTTTCACCCAAGTATCATCCACAGAGATCAGGGTGTATTTATAGCACCATACTTTCCACTTGTAAAACTATGCTTCAGCATACAACAGGATATACTTCCAAACAACAGTATAGCTTCAGTGCATTTCACAGCAAGACTAGCTGATCTTACCACGAAATATACACGAAGCTGCCGATATCAAAACGTACTCAGATCATTTTCAATATATATTTTAAGGTTATAAAAAAAATATATTTCTAACAACAGTTGTAATACAAGGCAGTATATGGAGGCTGGAACTTCCTACACTTTCTTAATATCATTGTCACTATATGTCTTCTATTTTGTGAGTTTCTTCTTGGCCGCTGCCACTTCGGCCAGTGTTGTAAGTCCTATGTTATTCAGTACGTCTGGTTCCACCACAGCAGTGTCTGCAACAGGTATACCAAGTGAACAGGGCAATACAGCAATCCGTTGACAACTGCCATGGCTATGTGATCCAAAAGCATAACTTAGTTTCAGATGGATGAACTGTAGGTTATGTAATGATGCTGTATCCAATGCAGCAGATATTTAGCACCAAATGATATGAATGAATTATTGTGTTTGGTACAGCTGAAAATACCGTAAAAACATCTTTAACCAGTTACACTGGACAGAACTGTTTCACTTTTTCATAACATCTTTAAAAATTATAAAATATTATGGGAAAGGTACAGCTATTCCTGTAACAGGCTGTGGAGGCTAATAGGCTTGTAAGACATCAAGATTTCCACATTTTCTAGACAATTGGCTCACAGATGGTGGTGAGCCTGTCAGCCTTACGCACTGGCCATTCTTTACCCACAAGAAGATTCCTGGTACTCATTTCTGTTAGAGGCTGAGTTGACCTCAGGGCCATAGTATGGCTGGAAGGATTAGGTCAATTGAAAAATCCGATGACCTCATCATAGTGTCTCAATACAATTTATGGTCTATTTAGCAATGCTATCACTGCTCAGAGCATGCAGTGTCCAGTTATAGGATGATTACTGAATAGTGAAATGAAAAGAATGCGAAGGAAGCAGTCGTGGTTTGATTTGAAGTACTGGCATTTGCCTGGAGGGACTGAGGAGAGCCACACAAATCCTTCCTTACTTAGGACAGCTGGTCTTCAGGCTGAGATTTGAACACAGGATTTCCCAAATATAAAGGATAAATTCTATCCACTTGACCCTGTTATTTGGTATAAAACATTATGTAACCCTTTAAAGATGCCTGCAAAACACGTGAAACATCCAAAGAGAAAAACATATTGTCACATGTTGGGTATGTCACGCAACAAATAACTTCACGTGGGTCTCGGATTTAGCGAATCTTTATTGTGCTTCACTTATACACTCACATGCTTTATAATTATTGTCACTTGCAGTATCACAATTACTGCTTCCACTACATCTCGGCCAATACTAGACTGCTTTCGGTGGCGGCCTTCTGAAGACTGACTTCTTGCTGTCTTCTGTCTGTATCATATGGCGACTAGGTTCCAACTGTCTTCAGCGGCGGCTGTCCCAAGACTGACTCATCTCTTGTCGAAGCTGGGATTTTATAGCCTCAGCGGTTGCTACAAAATGAACCTTCTGTTGTCACGCAATGCTTTGAACAATTCGTTACCTTTCATCTCCTAGGAAATGCGTTTGTTTGCCCCAGGTAACGGCCCACTGTTACTGCATTGTCACTGTGGGGATTCTCCGTGTATTCGTCATAACCATGGAGACTCATTGTAGGCTGTTATCTTCCTATTGTGGCCGTTGCGCAGCGATGACCGTAAGATAGCACATTACATTGCTCCCTCCTAAAGGTTGTTCATCCTGAACAGCCTAAAAGTTCTTCCTCTGTTCCATTTCCGTGGTGTTCTGCTGGCAACGTCTGCATTCGGTCTTCGTGTTCTGCTGGCATCTTTTTGCACTGTTCGTTCTGCTGCATCCACCCCTCTCTTCAGTAGTGCTCGTCCCAAGGACGCCCGTAGCCCAGAATTTGTCGATCCGTTGTATCACATTCACTCATCACTTTCATTCTCCATTCATCCTTGCGGGGGAGGCCAGTACTTCTACGTTACCAGTTCCTCCCATATGGGCCATTTCCTTTCTTCCGTTTTGGAGGGGGTAGACCCCTCCATATTGTCCAATCCTTGGTCATGTTTTCCCTTAGAAGTTCTTTCTTGAAGGCATCTTTCCTTTGTCGTGCCACTGCTGCGCGATGGGTCGCCTTCTGATCGGTTTGTGTTTTCCGTGCTACATTCGCACAACGGGTCGTGTTCTGCCTGAAGATGTCTCTCATGTGTCATGCCACTGTCGCGTGATGGGACATCTTCTTGTCGGTTTCCTGCTCTTGCCGTGCCAATTTCACATGGCATGCTGTCCTTCTGCAGGTGATGGCCAATTTCTTCTGGGGTTTACAAGCTTCCCGTGTTGAATCCTTCAGTTTCTGGCGGCGGCGCTCCATGGCCAGTTTTCGGTCCCTGCACCTTTTCTTCTTCGGTTCTCCGACCGGCATTACTTCGGCGTCTTATACAGGTACCTCTTTTTTCTGTGCCGCCTCAGGTTTCCTGCCTGGTGAGGCTGGCTTCTTCTCAACTCGATGTGCCTCCATCTCTTGGCAGGCCATCGTCTTTACATGTTTGTCATTCCCCCATTTGTCTGTCATGGCAGCTATCTATTCTCGCCATGCTTTCATGTTGGCCTGTCTGTCGTCCTCTAGTTTGGCCAGTAGTTCTTTGTGGCTGGTCTTCATTTCTTCTTGGCCCGCTAACAGACGTTTCATCATCTGTTGCATATCCATTTTTCCGCGTGTAGCATTATAGCGGCGTTAGTCTAATAACTCTTCCAAATTCGCCTCAGAATCCGAACTGATCCCTCTTCTGACGCCAGTTGTCACGTGACAAATAACTTCACGTGGGTCTCGGATTTAGCGAATCTTTATTGTGCTTCACTTATACACTCACACGCTTTACAATTATTGTCACTTGCAGTATCACAATTACTGCTTCCACTATATCTTGGCCAATACTAGACTGCTTTCGGGGGTGGCCTTCTGAAGACTGACTTCTTGCTGTCTTCTTTCTGTATCATATGGTGACTAGGTTCCAACTGTCTTCTGCGGCGGCTATCCCAAGACTGACTCATCTCTTGTCAAAGCTGAGCTTTTATAGCCTCCATGGTTGCTATGAAATGAACCTTCTGTTGTCACGCAATGCTTCGAACAATTCATTACCTTTCATCTCCTAGGAAACGCATTTGTTTGCACCAGGCAATGGCCCACTGTTACTGCATTGTCACTGTGGGGATTCTCCGTGTATTCGTCATAACCATGGAGACTCATTGTAGGCTGTTATCTTCCTATTGTGGGCATTGCGCAGCAATGACCATAAGAGAGCACGTTACAATATTATGAGGGTTGTTCAAATGAAACCTGTTTGCAGCACAGGTACTGAATACAACCGGCAGCAGGTGATCAGGTTCTGTGTGCATGTGACTGGCTATGAGCACCATGAATGGGTTTCACCTGAACAACCTTCATAAATAAGAAACATGAAATATTACATTGCATCTTATGGTAAATACATATATCAAATGTGTTCCAATCTCCACCATAAATACAAATAAACCGAAGTCCAGATCCCTTAACTTACCTCTGCTCGTGCGAACATTCTCTGGATCAAGTCGAGTGATACACTGCTTACGAGCTTTGCGTTTCTGGCTGCCTACCAAGTGTGCTGTTGTGATGGTGATTGTGGTGGCAGCATTGCTTGTGACTATAACAGGGGGAGAGATGGCCCTAACAACACTAGGGACTCTCTGCTCCATACTGTGGTTATCTTCAGGACTCAGTACTGCTGGCAATGCTGAAAGGAGAGAAGTGTGAAGTCTGTACATGACAGGACACACATAAGCAGACTAGAGGCTAATAATGTCTCAAGTGTTTTACAGTGAAACAATAAAAGTGGAAATCTCTGATATAAAACAACGAAAACTGTGAAACAGTTTGTGTGACACATGGCAAAGTCCATTTAATACCTTATGTAAATTGGGCATTATTAGGGATCAAAATGACCAATGATTGGAATTTCCCAACAACTTTCAGTAAACTCTTGAATACTGAATTTTACAAAAGGATGTCCATTGTTTTAGGCACTTATATTAGGTAACAGACAGACCTGATCTCCAAATAAATCTGTCATTTTGGGGAGAGGCTGTATTTAATGACACTGTCAGTATTTAGACTACATAGCACTGGATAGTAGGACTGCTGATGAACTGGAAGGAGGCAATTGTGGCCTAACTGTGGTACTATCCCACATCTGTCTGGAGGGACTGAGGACAAGTATGAAAAATCTCAGTCAGAATAGCAGGTGTCCAGATGAGATTCAAACTGAGCAACTTCTAACGACAAGTCTTAACATCAGAATTACTGGGTTTTTGGACTTTGCCCATTGTTGGGTATTCTAGTAAACAGAAAACACAACATTTCGGAAACTAGATCTGTTTCCATTCTCAGGTGGGGTGAGGGAAGACACCTACTCAGTTGGGTCCCTTAGAAACAGCTGAGTACAGGCCTTCCCCCTTTTCATTTGAGGGCAGAAACAGATCCAGTTTCTGAAACATTGTGTTTTCTATTTTTTAGAATACCTGACGATGGACACCAAAAACCCAGTAATTCTGAGTGTTATACACCATCATCAGAACTCTTCAGAATCTACAGTTCTTAGAGCATTACCCATTTGGTTTAAATTAGTAAAGATTGTCTAAAAGGGTTTCATGGAGGTGCAGACAACAGCACTCTTTGTTCTTCTGGATAACAAGCATGAACTTCTGACTACATTTCAGGCACAAAAGAACTTTGTTCTCAAAGCCTGCCCATGAGTAAGAGCAATGAGTGATATAAAGACAAGAACAGCCTTGTGAGAATACGTAGTCCTATGTAAGATTTATAAATAGAAAAGGTTGGCAAACCCAGCTGAAGCTAATGTATGCAAACAGTCATGACCTTCAAGTCTGACTTCATACCTCTCTGTGTGAAAGAGATGGCAATATAAGTTGCAGTTGCTACTGAGACTACTGCATCAACAGCAGGCAGAACCTCTTTATAACATAAAGGGCCATACTCATGCTGTAAAAAAGTGGAAAGTCATGCATTTTCTCCGCCCCCCCAAAGAAAAAAAGTTGGGAAAGAAAATCGAAATTAAAGGAAATACATGAACAGGAGTGAAATGTCATTTTAATGAATGTCAGAGTAATGAAATATTCGACAAAATTAAAATTTTTCTGGACTGCATAAATTTACAGTATACCTTTAGGCAAAAATGTTTCACTTGAACGAATCCTACTATAACAAAATATCATCTTTACATAATAAAAATCCACCCCGATATCAAAAAATGTAATCAGTATAACAAACTTTGTAAAAAAGCTCGCTAAATGATCACAATGCCCACTTTAACATAACCGCTGCAGCATGTGTGAGACAGAGATGAAGATGGTGGGAAGAGACAAAAGCTGCAAAGGACTGTGAACATATCTTCATTCTGGAGAACTACAGGAAGGTATGCCACGATCTCAGCCACAGTGTTTCATGGCAGAAGCCCCATGAATAAAACCCTGAGATAAAATCTCCACTTATTATAATTTCAGTTTTCAATATAGACATGCAACAGTCCCTCACTCACCAGCACTATGCATGTCCAGGCTCACTGCACGACGCCTAGTAGTAGCTGCAGTTGCCAGTGGGCCAGATGATATAACCGTCTTTTTTGGGCTGCCGCTGGAAAGGTTCCTCTTCTTTCGAGCTTTTTTCTTCAGCTGAAATTCTTCCAAACTCAAAGATGGCAGAGCCTCGATTTTCTCGTCCAAGTTGAAATCTCTGGAAGATAAGATTTTAACATGAAAGTTGCAGCTGAGTGGGTAGTGCTCCTGCTTTATATTCGAGAGCTACAAGCTGCTATGATGGACACATTCTGTCTGTCGTTACTGTCCATCTCAAGAAAAATGTTAGGATAGTATTACAAATTAGATCACAACTGCTTCCTTGAACAGATTTTACAACTCATTAGTCACTACTGACTCTATTATTCACCATAAATAAATAAGGTACGAACATGAGGAATGGACATGGATGAAAATACATGGTAAGAAGGTATCCCTGTAGCAGGCCATGGAGGCCCATAGGGTTGTGAGATGTTGAGGCTCCCGCATTTTCTAGACAATAGGCCGCCTGTTACCCCCAGGAATATTCCTGTTAGAGGCCGAGTCAACCCCAGGGCCATACTGTCACTGGAAATATTACACAAACTGAAAAAAATCCACCTCATCGCGATTCAATCCTGCGACCTTCTGGCTTATAGCTTAGTGCCTCAACCAACTACTAGGGTAATTATTTTTTCTTGAACTCAAATTTACATCTTGTCTAAAAGCATAAATATCAAAATATAAGAAATTATAATATATACTACCTGTTGTTTTGTAAAGGTCTGAAACTTTGTCTTCCATACTAAGGGAAGAACAGACTGTAGGAGTTGAGAACATAATGCTGAGGAGGATATTTTGACCCAAGAGGGAGGAAGTGACAGGAGGCTGGAGAAAAATGCACAAGAAGGAGTTTCGTAGTCTGTTCTCTTCACTGAACACCATTAGACTGCTGAAGTCAAGATGGAAAGTAGAGATACATGAAGCATGTTTAGGTGCCATAAAAAATGCATACAAAAATTTTGTTCAGAAAGTACTCAAGACAGTCTTACTTAACCAGAATAAATAAAAATTACATTTCAACAAAACATATTTCAGTCACAGCATTACATCTCATGTCCAGATGCACAGCCACATCCGTCACCTTAATTTCGTGTTTTTAAAATCTGAAACTTGAACTAAACACAAAGTTTAGAAACATCGTAAACAAAGAAATGCAATAACATTCTCAGTTCAGACATATAAAAAAAACAAACAAAAAAACACTGTGGCCTGTAGTCGGCAAGCGAACTGTACCGACCAAGTGACTGCCACTCGTCAGCCACTTTTGCGGATAGAGGCTGTCACGTGGTCAGCACAACGGATCCCTATGGCCGTTCATTTCACTTTTCTAGACAGGCAGTTCAGACCTATTCATTCAAAAAACAGTATAACATTAAATCAACATTCTTCAGTGTATACATACGCAGCTCTAAATCGTTTCTTTGGCGAGGAGTCCGAAAATGATTCTTCTGAAGCATATAAACGTTTTCTAGACTTCTTGTCAGATAATGAATGTTGTGATGGACCATCTTCTGTAGAACCACTAAACAAAAGAAATACATTAAGACATAAGCTTTAATTGCTACAACATGGGAAGGAAGATGACAATCCCATTAACAATTCATATAGAGTGAAATTTCATAAGGTTGTTACTGTGTGTAAACATCAGTTTGGATAAATGTATGGTTATGAAAATAAGCCAGAAAAGTACAATCAATTCACTGTAATACCTGAACCGTTTTCCTGTCTTTCTACAGCCATGTTTTGTTTCTCTTTTTACAGCTGGCATCTTGTTTCTCAGTCCTGATGGTGACGGCTCCACCATGCGTGGAACTTGAAGATCTAACTCTGGCAGTGCGTCTGAGCTTTCTGTTTTCTCACTAGCACTTGAGGACTCTGAGTCAAGCCTCTCTCTCTTTGGAACTGGGGTCACTGGAAGATCTGTACTACTGGAATTGAATGAGAATCATATCTCATACTGCGATTTAAAAGAACCCATCACTGTCCCATTGAAAATTCAATGGGATTTCTCATCATTTGCTATATACGCTTTCATACTATTAACTTCCTTTGCTTTCTCTCATATTTCTTTCCAGACTTACATGTTAGCAAATGTTTAACACCATCTGCCATGACCAATGTGCACAAGCATAAAAATGAAAATTGTAATTTTTTTAAATGGGCTATACTTCACATATCAAAATCAAAAGAGACATGACACACTGGAACCAAAGGCTTCTTGCTCATTCATCGTCTACTCCATAACATATACTCATGCAACATGTTAACGTTCCATGTTTCACTGCTATGGTGACCTGCAATTGTGTTAATGAGAGAGATAAACCTCACTGTGAATTTTTTATTTATAGAAGGATAATTAACGATGCACAAATACATTCACTTTGCACAATGCTGAAGTGCAGGGTGAACTTTACTCTTTTAACACTGTCTTCTTGGATGTGACACCATGTAGTCTGGTAGTTCAATGTTTCAGAGCAACCTACTGGCTCCATCTTCAGGGTAAAAGAATCAGCCCAGTGTGGAATAAGTGGTATGGATACAGGAAGATAGAGAGACCACAAGTGGTGTCTTGGGTAAACCAACAGGAGTAAGGAGAACATAATAACAATCACATTTTCAAGGACAAATTGAATAGGAGAAATAATGACTCTTGAGCAGGGGCGGCCCGTGTATAGGCACTGTGGAACTGCAGCACCCCCAATTTCCACATGATATTATCGATAACATTTATATAATGAGTCCTTTTTTCTTTAATTCTTTCTTTATACTTGTACAATACAATATATATTCCTTAAGCTTAATGTCAGTAGCCAAATCTTTGTATGGAACTGTGCGCTTCTGGAGCAGCACCCCCACTAATTTTAGCTACGAGCCGCCACTGCTCTTGAGTGAACCAAGAGGAGTACAGGGATGCCAGAGCAAGGAAACAGCAGCCATTTTGAGGGTTGCTTTAGAAGAGCAGTATGAATGATGGGCTAACATCTGTGGGCTAACAAAGTGGAGGTGGATGGAAGTCAAACTTTGAAGTAAAAGTAAAGTATAAGTATCTGTGTAACAGGCCGTGGAGGCCTATAGGGTTGTGAAATGTTGAAGTTCCCAAATTTTCTAGAAAATCGGCTCATAGATGGCAGCAAGGCTGTCAGCCCTATGGGCCGGCTGCCCTTTACCGCCAAGAATATTCCTGGTACTCATTTCTGTTAGAGGCTGAGTCAACCCCGGGGCCATACTGTGGCTGGAAGGATTAGGTCAATTGAAAAAAATCCAATGACCTCATCGGGACTTGAACCTGTGACCTTCCAGCTTGTAGCAGTGCCTCAACCAACTATGCTACCATGTGCCCCTGATGATACATATGCATGGAGCACTGGCAAAAGGGAAATCAAAGAAGACAAAGAAAATCCTGCCCCAGTGCCACATTATCTATGCCAAATCCCTGCCGCGCCATAGCTCAAGTGGTTAGTCGCTGGCTTCCCACTGTGGCGGCATGGGTTCGATCCCGGGTCTGGTCAAGTGGAATTTGTGATGGATAAAGTGGCGCTGGGGCAGGTTTTCTCCGAGTACTTCGGTTTCCCCTGCCAATCTTCATTTCACCAATTGCTCCACAATCACCCTCACCTATCATCTGCCGCTGGTACAATAAGCCAGAAGTGGCCACAGTACAAGGGACTTAGTCCCACCCCCCTAGCAATTAAAAAAAAATATGGCAAATCCCACATGGACTACCCAGGGATAGAACCTGGGCCTCTGCAGTAAGATATGGAAGCTAACTAATATTGATCACCAACTATTGCACAGACAACAGCGTTAACGATCAATCATGAAGACATATCAGCTCTATTAAAATTACAGTCACATGTCATGTCAAGGTTTGATCATATTCAGCAAAGCACACTGCAGAACATGAAGACATGGGCAAGTGGACTGAATGTTATATTTACTTGCTAATGAATCACTCAACACTGTCAGTAGCTCAGGCTACATGGTGTCAAATGGTGAATAAAGAGTTCAAGAGCATGTGGAAGGAAGTGGCTATGGAATAATATGTGGCACTATTCTGAAGGAACTGAAGAAAACACAGACACCCAGCAACAGTAGCTGACATCCAGGGCAAGATTTTGATGCCAGGACAACCCGTATACAAAACAGGAGTTCTATTCTTCTAGATTCTAAAGTTTGGTATTAAATTCTATATATACAAACTATGAACGAACATAACTTACTTTTCGTTGCTGTTGACAAAGTTCCTCCGTGTCCGCTTTCCAAGTGCAAGACGACCTTCGCTCATGAATTCTCGATAACGTTGTCCTTTGCAGGTACGTACGGATTTCCTTCGTTGCATTTCACTTGGGCTTGGAAGCAGCTGCGGAGTATCAGCAGTGGAAAGAGCTTCATCTTCTGAAAGTCTTGTCCAGTCCTTTGTACTCACTGATGTGAATTCCGATCCTGTTTCTGCCATATCAGCAACATACTCCAATGTCCCTGGCCTCGCCGCCACACAATCATTTTCATATGAAGGGTCCTGAGAAGTTATCCTCCTGTCTTCAGAACCATTAGGAGTAGTTATGTCATTAACACCTGAGGTGTCTTTACTGTCTTTGCCATTAACTGCATGATCCAATGAATGTGGTATGGATAATTTTGAGGCAGTTTTCTGTGAAGAGTGAATCAACTTCTTCGGCCTGATTATATCAATGTTGCTATTTTTTAATTCATAATCTGCAGGATCAAATTTCTTAACATTGGCAACTGAACTCACTGTTGGAACACCATTTAAAGTATTTTCAGTGCCTGATTTTGGAGGCATATCTATCCTGCTATTGTGGTCTTTCACTACACTTTCAGATCTGTCATTTGATGGCAAACTGTCACATTTTGCTGCACATGATTCTGAAATATTGTTACTGAACGTGGAGGATGTACATTGCTGCTTTCCTTCTGGTAAGGAGTTGGAGTTGACCAATGTCTTTGCTATAGTATGATCAAAAAATCTGTTTTCACTCAACCTCAGTGTCAGATCTAAATTATTTCCTTCCTGACCATCTAAGTACTTTTCAGATTTAGCAAGAACACTCTGTCCTGGTGGATTGTGAACCAAAATTGTCCTGACCTTACTATCATCACCATACAATGCTGGAAACACTAACCTATTTTCTTCCATACTCTCTAACCCCACCTCCATATTTGGCCCAAAACCCACTCCTCTGTTATCATGATGGTTATGTCTGGAATAACAAGTCACTTCAGAAACATTTTCATTTTGGAATACACTGTTGTGATTATTTTCTTCTGTTTTAGAAGTCCTTGAAAAATTAAAGACACTCGGTGTTTCTGGACAAGTCCTGTCAGAGTCAGTGAATGTCGGCTTTGGTTCGGTGTGATTTACGATCACATTAACAGTCTTCGTTACTTTATCACAAATATCAGAGGTTACAGCTCTGCTAGAATTCAACAGACAGTTTGAAGCTGTAACGCTGCTTTCGTTCCAGACATCGCGCTTCCAGTCCCAAGTCTCGGCAGCCTTGGGCACAATGCAGGTATCTCCGTAACTTCTAACTTCTGAGGCATGATTATTTGTACCATAATCACCGATGCTATGATAATACCCTTCAGGTCTACAGTTCCCAGCTCTGCTCTCTTTGCACATTTCTGAAGCAATATCTTTATAAACATACACATTGTTGTTTATACTCTTTAAATCAAATTCATGGCTGGCATCACTATGGAAATCGCATGCCAAGCCTTCTGCAGCAGAAATGCATGCACCTGATGACAGAGATGATGTGCAGCATGCATCTGATGTTTTGGGAGATCTGACCAGTGGGGATTTACAGTTACCCGTACTCTGAGTCACAGTGTTATTACTACAAATTACACTGTTCTTCACCAAATGAAGAGGTGGTGAAGTGACGTTTCTTTGCTGCTTTGATGAAGGTTGATGTGTGTTTGTCGTGTCCAGAGGTGGAGACTTCTCCACTGTAAAAGTATTAATGCAGGCAGCACTCTTGTTTGATAGTGGTGATGGTGATCTCACATGATCTGTGAAACCGCACAGTCTATCAACAACTCTGTCAATAATTTGTTGTTGTGAAGCCTTTATTGTCCTCTCCAGATCATTATGAGACTTGATATCAGACAGTCTGTCCCCCTCCTTGTTCTTGGAGAAACACCGACGGATCACAGTGGATGACGCGGCAATCACTTCTGAATCACATGTAGAATCACTTTTATCATGGCTCATACTACGATGGTGCCTTGCCCTCAATTTTGCAGGACGCTGGCTACAGCCATGTGCATCTTTCAGTTTCGGTACTGCAACTGAACTTGGCAAGTTGGATACAAAACACAAATTGCTCTGGATCCCTTTGGCCTTAGAGCAACCTTCTTTCATGTTTCCCACCCTCCAGTCCTTTGATTTACTTGTTGCCGAATCAACGCTAGCCCTACGACGGTTTGTCTTCCTTTCTTGGAGTGAGTTTAATTGATCTGCTGCATGGCTTCTTAGTTTTGTAAATGGTGACATGAAATTCACTGAAGATAATCCCATAGGGGGAGACTCTGATGAAGACGACCTGAAGTCCAATGCAGATGAAGTACAACCCTCACCTGACCCATTCCTGGTCTCCTCCTTTTCAGATGGTGCCTTGCACTGTTGAGGACTTACAGCAGTGCTAGCTTCTAAAAGCCCCATTGCTTCTTGCAGGTATCGCTTTTTGGGAGGTTTTGGTACAGTTGGTGATGTTGGAGCAGTGGGAGTGGTTGGAGTGGTGGGAGGAGAGGCCAGAAGGCTACTGAGCCCTCCCATCTGACTTTCATCTGAGAAGAGAAACAAAGTAGTCATAAGAAAACATCCTTTGTTACTGATATTAAGATGACAGGAAAATGTACTGTACTTGAAAATTTACAAACAACATGAAACTTTGAATATGGAATAAATACTTTACACATACATGGAAGCAGCCATTATTTTAACTCTTTAATGTAAACATGCACAAGCCCTTACACAGTATCATATTTGAGCATCCTGTTGCATTGATGTACGAGTATCACTCACTCATTCACCTCTGATATGAATGCAACTTAAAAGTGTTCACAATCAGATTTTAATTTAAAATGACACTAAAAGCACATTATTCGCTACATGCCTCAGCCTTACTTGGTCATCTACAGGTAACTGTTCACCTTTGAAACTGTTGACAGCACTAGATCTTGATATATTTCCATTCTATTGCATTATCATTGTTCATACTAATTATGTTTGTCTCTCTCTGTTCTGCATTACTTTCATTTTGCAGCATCCATGTGTGTGGCCCCTTTCAATGTATGTTCTCACTAGTTGGGCGTATGTCCCTTGTTACTTGACTTTAATGTTATTATAAATTAAGAAGAGACTGTAAATATTTTTAAGTTCCATTGAAGACGGAGGTGAATGAGTGAGGTCCCTAATGCAATTAATGACCCCCTCATCCCAATAATACAGTATATGCCAAAAATACTGTACTGAAATGAAAATACATCCTGTTGATACCACTGTCTATTCACATGAAGGCCCCTTGCATGACAGAACCTTCTCCAATCCTGAAGAAATGGTCCGATCACCATGTCCTTGCAGCGTTCTTGGGTGATAGTAAGAGCATTGCCTTCCTCATCCTCAATGAAATAGGGGCCTAATATACCGTGTGCTGAGACGGCACACCATATTGTCACATGTGTACTATGTAGCGGTTTCTGGACGATAGCATCTGACCACTCAAAACCAAGGAAGCGAGTTGTCTGGCGACCACTTCAGTATGAGCGGAAATAATACTCAACTATGAATATTTTTTCCTCCATCGAGAGACCCATTTCTAACAACTGAATAACGCAACTTCCTATTCACTACTGGAAACACATGCGGTTGGAACTGTGCCCCGTCGACAAACGCACATGCGCGTTCAAGATGCGCGAGTTTCAGTACTGTATTTTTTTTGGCACATACTGTATTAAGCAATAGAAATTAATTGTTTCTTCTGACCTCAAACTTTGAAACTTTTGGTATCATAAGCTAGTCAAAGTCCTACAAAAAGCAGAAAAAGAAAATCAGAAAATCCAAGTCAATAAAACTACAATTCTGAACACCGTCACAGGTTCCTCTCAGGCTGTATGGTGACAGCAGGAACCTAAATAGCATTTCCCAAAAGCATTTATATTAAAATCTCCATGGCTCACTTGCTTGAAGAGAAACTGCATGCGGATACAACTTGTATAGCTCCCGTACTGTGAAAACGTGTAGACTACTGACAATAGAGTGATTTGGTTTGCGAATAGGGTTATAAATTGTGAAACCCCGCAACATTGTTATAATTAATTGTAGCCATTGCTTGTAGGTTGTTGAATAAACCAGTTAACAATCCGAACGGCGTAATCAGTAACAAAACACGTTACATTTGGTGTCAGAAGTGGGATTGGACTTACACACGTGACCAAGAAGATTCGAACTCAAAACACGTTACAATATTTTAAATAACTCTTGAGAGCTTGGCATGCTGTCTCTGAGTATGTCACAATTTGGTGCTAGTCTCAACACACTATTTCATAAACTGTGGTTAAGGTATTCATTTTCCAATAAATTAACATAAGCACTGCTTATTTCTTTACTTCATGACATTCTGCCAAATGACCACAACATATAGCATAAAAATACTTTACTTGAAGATTAATCTGACATTAATTCTTTTTATGTACCTATGAACTTTCTACAGAATATCAAATGACTGTTTATTTAAATTTCTCTCACTCATCTTTGAACAAAGATCTGCTCACCTGCCAGTTTGCCTGGTGTGATGGGACCACAAGTCACTTGACACTCCAACTTATGAGGCTTGTTCTGATTGGATGGCCGTGTGATGAGTGTACGCAATGGAGGTGCAGGTAGCTTGTACCACTTGAAATCTGGGTTTGCTTTCAGGAATGCTTCTTTGTACTGGAAACACAAGGATTTCACAAAGTGAAACATCACCAGTGACTCCAACATTTATATAAAATTGAATAACCATATTCATCTTGTGTGCAGGAGGGTTAGAATACCTCCACCGTAGACCTGTGAATCATAAAAGGCAATGAAAAGGGAACCTGGTACCTGGAGGTATAACTGAGACACCCTGTCACTGGGTGACATATATACAGAGACCTGGTCCACCAGGGTGGGAGTTGAACTCAGGGCTGCTAAGCTTGCTCCGTAAAAAAATTACAGTAGTGAGTTCCGAAGGGTGAAAACCAGACACAATCTGGCAGAATCTTCTAAGGAAGTCTATGGCTCAAGAAGGGCTGTTTTGCCAGTAATGATGATGATGAATGACTATAATGAGGCCAAGGAACAATGTCGTATGGATTAAACCTGTTTGCATTTCCATCAAGCCATTCACTGGCCTTCCAGCACACTTCCCAGCATTCCCATCCAGCTGCCTAGCCATTCTGTTAAAAGGGATATAGTGACGACACTCACTAGCTACAAGCACTACTGATTGGTTGACAGTGGCTAGAAGTGGTTGGAGGGGAATACAACAGTGGGCAGACAGGTGGAAGCTTCAAGTGCCATGATCTCTGCCACCCATCTTTCTATGGCCTCAGCATAAGTAACTTCATGGAGCACAGACCTTGAGAAGTTAACAGATACCCAGCCAGTCACAAAAGTCCTAAGATTCTATGGAACATAAAGGTCTTTTTGCTATGTTCACAACATGCCATCACTGGTCCCTATCCTGAGTCAGATGAATCTACTACACACTTTCACATCGTGTTCCTTTAAGATCCATTTTAATATTAACCTCCCATTTATGACTAGGCCTTCAAAGTGGTCTCTTTCTTTCAGGTTTTCCTACCGAAGCCTTGCATGTATTTCTAAAAAAACTTTCACTCAAAAATTGAAAAATACAGATGCCTGCTGCTACTAGTGACCAGTTTGCCAGTATGTGTTGCTGTTGCCATACCAACATACTGAAATTATACAGTCTAAGGTGCAGACAACATTGTTAACCATAAATAAAGAATACAAATATTATGTTTTTGGACATTAGCCATTGTACTGTTTTTATTTAAAAACACAATGTTCCAGAAACTTGATAATGTACAGAAATATAATATTTGTATTAACATATAACTGTCACGAACTTTTAGATTTTATAAATAAAACAGCACTCCAATAAAACTTGAAGCATCATGCAATAACAAAGGGGCTCTAAAGCCACCAATCACTAATACTGGGTACAATTCCAACATAGACTTATATATTAAATTCAAATCAGCCCAAAACAATGCATCCTTCACAAAAATCCATTTAAGTCCAGTATTTGAAGGGATGAAAAATTCTTCTGAATCCTTTTCTTCTAGGAAGTGATGCCCTGTAGTATGATTGAAGTATACTGACATTTCAGAGGAACGCAGCGCCTCCATCATCAGGGTTGCTTGAGAAGAAACTAAGCAATCAGCAAGCAGAGTGAGCTGCAGATGGACAACTTGGTTCAGATATAGGCCTGGTAAGGACCTCAGAAAAAATTAACATGAGCGAGCGAAAAACTAACTGGTGTGGGACCAGAAAAAGATCATACCCGCAGAAGTGGAGGGATGGTAGAAGATGGGAGAAAAGTAGTATGACTGAACCCCAAAGATGGAGACAGTATGTGCTTCCAAAATGAAGTAACCTTCTCATTCACCCACTCACTAAGCTGAGCCCTTCTTGAGAAGGTGTCAATTGTGCAGCTACTCAAGAATGTCCCAGCACTTTATGGAACCTGAAGTTTCATTACCGTGCTCGTAAGAGCCCTACACTGGTCCCTATCCTGAGTCAGATCAATCCAGTCCATACCATCCCATTCTATCTCTCTAAGATCCATTTTAATATTGAACACCCACCTATCTCTTGTTCTTCCTAGTGGGCCCTTTCTTTCTGGCTTTCCCACCAATATCCAATATGCATTCCTCTTCTCACCCATTTGTGCTATACGTCCTGCGAATCTCATCCTCCTATACTTGGTCCTTCTAATTATACTTTGCAAAGAGTACAAGTTATGAAGTTCCTCATTATGTAGTTTTCTCCAACCTCCCATCACTTCATCAAAGCAGACTTTTACCAGACTTATATGGTGCCCCAAACCCAGAGGACAGTACCCCTTACAGTCACTATCACAAAAACCTCAAACTCATTTTATACGTTGCTGTTTGTCTTGTGCCTCCAGATATAGCTTGCATTTGTATTTGTTGTCTCTGCCTACCCAGGCAAGGGCACAGAATCCAATTCAGGGGTATGAATGAATGAATGAAATGAATGAATGTATGAGGGGTAGGCCTTCTCGGCCCTTGTACCACAACCTACAGTGGTCTACTGTGCTTCCTAGGGGCACATGTAGGATGGATTGTGTTACCCCCGTTACAGGGTAATCATGAAGGTGATGGCTAATGGAGGGTAAAGGTAAAGTTGTCCCTGTGCTTAACTAATTAAGCACTACGCCATGAAGGTGTATAGTGTGAGTGGATGTATAGATCCACATTTTACTGACCTTGGCACTAGTTGGAGTTGAGTGGTCAGCTTCACGACCCGGCTGCTTTACCCCCAGGGAAAGAACCCCATTACCCATTGGATAGGAGGTTGGGTGAACCCCAGAGCAGGTATGGACACAAGGAGAAGAGAAAATTCTTGACCCTACCAGGACTCGAACTCCAACCAGTACTATACTGATTGTGCTATCCTGGCTCTGGCTAACGGAGGGTATCTGAAGCTTTTGTGGGCTCCGAATGACAGGGGTTCATTTCATATACAAAAAAATTACACTGAAGACATGTTGCAAAAAAAAACTGCTTCACACAAACCTGGCGTGCAAGTTCGGTGTATGACGCTTTCTCAGGCTGTTCAAGATTTGCCCACCATTCGCCCAAGATTTTTGTGATTGAACGGTTCTCAAGGTGAGGGTAACGGTCTCGTACAACGCCACGGTGCCGCTTGCAGAAGATGAGAAATGCATTCATGGGTCGGCGAGCATGGTGAGCTGGTTCTCCCAGAAGTGAGTCCACACTTTCCTCTTCCAAACCGGCTGCCTCCTTCTCAGCCTCCGTGTCTGCTGCTCTATCCTGCGTTACAGAAATATTCACACATTCATACATTATATTCTGTATAGGACAGGAACAAGCAAGAAACAAGCAGCTTCCCACTTCCTGCTAGGCTCACTCTTCAGCCCTTAAGATGGAGGCAGTATATTCCTGCGTGGTACCACTAAAGACAGTACTTGTGAATGTTACAAATGTTAAGTGTGGAACATAAATTAGCGAGGTTTAGTAACACTGTGATCTGGGATGTGATGCCATGCAGTTGGATGGGAATGTTACACATGTTTTGAGAACTATGCTGTCTCCACCCTCAGGGTTGATGTGACTCAAGTAGGGAAATAGTAACTTTCAACCATGAAGATGGAAGTGGTATGTTCCTCCAATACACTGCTAACCTTCTACCAGAATACATGGTGTCACACTCCAGAAGGCCATAGTTTTAATATTCGCCACTGTTGAGAACCTCAAGTCACACTGCAAAATAAAGTTGTTCCAATGCTTAATTAAGTCCCATGACATGATGATATATGGGGAGAGTGGAGATATAGCTTCATGTAATATTAATCTCCATACCCAAAGGAGGTGAGGGGTCAGTTTCATGCTCAGGCTGCTTTATCTCCAGGGAAACCATTGGATAGGAGGCTAGGTGAACCCCAGAGTCGGTTTGGATGCATTGATGAAGAGCACAACCTCTACCACCACATGTAATCAAACCCCTGTTCTCCTGTTGTCCAGACTGAAGCCTAGTCACTATACTGACTGAGTTACATCATGGTTTATTAATACTTTTGCTCCCACTTTCTTGTGAGTTTAGCTCTTTCAGATATCAACATTTAGTTGGAACATACTGCTTCCATCTTCAGGTTTGAAGTGTCATACATTCAAGAGCATCACAATCCAGAAGGCCACAATGTGAACAATCACCACCAAGAAAACCTAAAAGCCTTAAATTTATATTTTTCTCTCACAAACTATAATAATTCCATTTATTTGTCTGGCTTCCGAATTATCACATTTTCCTCTGCATGGGAGTTCCGACTTAGAACACAGTTATTGCACTACTCCAGTCAGCTGCAACCTAAAGGAAACAAAGTAACACACCTTTCCAGATAAGCCTACATCAATAACAGCCACACTTCAGAAGTCATTCTGGCAAGATGTCAACCTCTATAACAACTGATGACCTTGAAAAGGAAGTAAGAATGTTTGCTGATAACATGACAATGGCTCAGGGTACGTATTTCCAAGGCATACAGACATTTCCCTTCTGTAATATGTCACTAGAGATCCTATGAAACGTGTCCTTTGTCACCGTAGCAGCACATGTCCTCAGGCTGCAAATGGAGAAATGGACCCCTGACGCAGAGGGTAACCATAAATGTACCAGTAAACACTGACAGACATCCAACATGGATCGTCCTCCAGCCCGTGTGTTTGACAAGGGGGCTAATAGCTCTGTACCACAAAAAGTCCACATGTCACAAAATGTTACACAGGGGTTTGGACTTGAAAGGATTCTTTGAGACAGCTGAAGAAATAGAAAATTGGCAAGAGAACTGGGAAATTATGAGTCTATTTAAACCATGTTCAATGAAAACATTCGGTAAGAGTCATAGTGTGTAGTCTGGTGAAAGCCAACTGATGTTTTCAAGGAACATGTCACCTATATCTTCAGCGTCAATGAGTAAGCCAAGTATGAAACCCGCATGAAGTACCAGGCTATACAGAATTATATCCCAGGTGGCAGATATCTTCATAACCACTGCTAAGAGAACCTCAGATCCAATACAGAAAACATTTAAATTTGGGGAATGCTTGCTATCATTCAGTTCAGAATTTTTTGTTTTCCCATTTAGTATCCAAAAACATAAAGATGAAAATATATAAAACTACAATTTTACCTGCTGTTTTTTGTATGGGTGTCAAAATTTGGACTCTCATGCCAAGAGAAAAAAACACCAATTGTGGGTGTTCTGGAAATGGGTGTTGAGGAGAACATTTCGACTCATGAAACAGCAGAAGGAACAGGATGAAGAAGAAATTTACACAATGAGGCACTTTATGATTTCTAATTCCTCACCAAATATTATTAGGATACTGAAATTAACGATGATGAGATCAGTGAGGCGTGTAGCACTCAAGGAGGTGAAGAGGAATGCTTATAGAATCTTGGTAAGGAGGCCTGAAAGGTAAGGAGTAGATGGGAGGATAATATTAAAATTTCGTTGAGGCACTATGCTACAAGCTGTAAGGTCACAGGTTCAATTCCCAATTATGTCACTGGATTTTTCAATTGACCTAACCCTTCCAGCCGCACTATGGCCCTGGGGTTGACTCAGCCTCTAACAAAAATGAGTACCAGGAATCTTCTGGGCAGCTGGCATGTAAGGCTGACAACCACACCTCCATCTGAGAGCCAACTATCTAGAAAATATGGGAGCCTCAACATCTCTCAACCCTATGCACCTTCACAGCCTGTTACAAGGATAGCGTTACCATTTATCCTGAAGAAACAGGGTTGGAGGATGTGGACTGGGTTTATATGGTTCAGGACAGGCACCAATGACAAGCTATTGTGAACATGGTACTGAACTTTCAGGTTCCAAAATATGGGGAGATTCTTGACAACCTGAACAACTATTTATTAGCTTCGTGAGGACTCTGCTCCACTTAGTTTGTTACTAAGAATAGATTATTGAAATATTCTGTTGACATAATTGCAAGAGCTATTGGATAGGAGGCAGGTTAGGTGTGCCCCAAAGCCAGTCTGGTCATGGTAACAAGGAAGAAAATGTCCCTAATGGGAATCAAGCCCCAGCTGTCCAGCCCATAATCCAGTCACTTTACTGGCCGAGCCGTTCTTGTCTCCTGGATTAAATAAATAAATTTTATATGGAAGAAGGTAAGGCCAGTCCAGTGACTGAAACTCTCCCTTTTTAATGGACCTAACTGAATAGGACTATTTTCTCCCTCACATTTGATAACAGAAAGTGATCAAGTTTCTGAAATGATGTATTTGAAAATGATCAAGGTAAGGGACAAAGTCTGAGATAGTTTTGTTCATGATGAGTTCACAATTTTAAATGGCTCCTGAATGCTGATGGAAATGTTTTATGTCCACCTATTCCATAAGGTAATGCTGCATAATCGCCACTCATCATTACAAACCAGTAGTAACCTATTATGATATATTTGTTAATATCTCTCAAGGACTATCTATACATTGCAGTGGTACAGAGGGATGAGGCTGAGAAATACAACAGCTAAATGACTTATAAGATTTTATATATAGTAAAAAAAAACAACAATTTAAAGTTTGATAGTGTGAAAATATCTAATTCCGTAAGAAGTGGCTCTAACATGACAAATATGAACTTTGGTATGTTTGCTTATAGTTCAGAGAGAAAGTGTTTTTAACAATTTACAGGACATGCAAATCCTGTGGGGTAAAGGGTGGCCAGTGCATAAGGCTGACAACCTCACTGCCATCTGTGAGCTGACTGTCTGAAGAAAATGAGGGAGCCTCTATGTCTCATAACCTTGTGGGCTTCCGAGGCCTGTTACAGGGATAGTTTTACCTTCACCTTTGCAAATCCTGTGACATACATGCTCATTTAGCGTAACAGGGCAACATGGCAACAAAACTAAAATTTTGTAGGACAGCTGTGTGAAGTTTTGTATTCGTTATGCATGTATACTAGCTAAGGATGTGACTAATGCATCCCCAAAACCTTTGTAAGGGTACAACCTCGAGCAGGCAACGTTACAAGATAAAATATCCTGTTTTCAATGAGATCTCTGGTACAGCGATTCTGATTCCCATTGCACATCAAAAATTAAGTCTTGTAGTTCTTTAATGATGAACTAATGATCTACATGATTATCTGATTATGATGACCCTCGAATATGTTTTACACACAGTTTAAAAGGAAGCAGAATTAAAGCAGCTATAGATGGTGCCATATTACACAATGTTAAAAGTAAGTCCAGCTTCCAGATAGTGACATAATAAAGCTAAAGTTTTGTACCACACACACTGGCATGAGCACATGCACACACACATACATATGCTAAGAATGTAACAAACATTAAATGCACAGAGAACAACTACAGTGTGACCTCGATATGAATGAATGAATACCATCTGCATTTTGGGGTGCCAGAGTTTGAGTCCCTGCTGCTATGTTCTGGCATCTGACTTACAATTACTACACTCCCATAGCACAGAACCCATCTATTATACAGTGGAACCTCTCTTAACGAGCATAATTCGTTCCAGAATCTTACTTGTAATGCGAAACACTCGTTAAGCGAAACAATTTTTCCCATATAAATTAACGTAAAATACGATAATGCGTTCCATGCCGAAAAAATACTCAAAAAAATGTATGTATAACGTTTATTCAAAGAAAATTATATATACATTGTTAAGGAGCATGAATCATCTTCATCTTTTCTTTTATGCGGAATGAAGCAACCTAGAATGCGAATTTGATTTGCAGAAAAAAAAAACCAAATTAATTTATTATTTATAATATATATATCTAATTCTTTTTTACTAGAAAGCTGTTTACAGACATTTGTTTTTGCCAACGCTTCAAAATTTGGTGAAAATGGGACACAGCATTATCATTAAATAAATTTGTAGCGCGCATAGCCACTGCCTTATTAGGGTGATGCTTTTCAATGTATGATGCAACAGTTTCCCATGCTTTCAGCATTTCTCTTATTGTGCCAGAAGATTGTTGCTTTTCTGTTACATCCTCCTCCTCCTCCTCTGACAAACTCTCCTCCACAACTTCTTGCTGTGAAACACAATGCAACTCCATAAGCTCTTCGGGGGTCAGCTCTTTGCTGTGCTCTTCCACAAGGTCATCGATGTCATTGTTATCCACCTCCAGCCCCATGATCTTGGCCAAAGACACAATCTCATTGACTATAGGCTCCATAGATACTATCTCAAACCCCTCAAAGTCACATTCAACAACACTCTCTGGCCAAAGCTTCTTCAAAGCAGAAGTGAAGGTTCTCCTGGTAACCCCTTCCCATGCCTTTTCAATCATCTTGAGGCAGGCAACGATGTGGAAGTGATATTTCCAAAACTCTCTGAGAGTGAGATTGGTCCCTTCAGTCACCTCAAAACAACGCTGGAAGAGTGCTTTAGTGTACAGCTTCTTAAAGTTAGAAATAACCTGCTGGTCCATAGGCTGGAGTAACAGAGTGGTGTTGGGAGGCAGAAACTGGATCTTGATGAATTTAAATTCTTCAGGGAGGTCATCTTGTAGGTCTGGAGGATGGGCAGGAGCGTTGTCCATACAAGCACGACATGGAGTGGCAGATTCATCTCAAGCAATTGTTTTTCCACAGAAGGACCAAACACTTCATTGATCCAATCAGTAAAAAGGTCACGTGTCACCCAAGCATTGTTGTTGGACCTCCACATCACATTTAGCCTGCTCTTCTGGACTTTACACTTCTCGAAGGCTCGTGGAGTTTCTGAATGGTAAACAAGCAGCAGTTTACTTTTCAAATCGCCGCTTGCATTGGCACAAAATAGCAGCGTGAGACGGTCTTTCATTGGCTTATGGCCGGACAATGCACTATCCTCTGCTGTTATATAGGTTCGCTTCGGCATCTTTTTCCAGAAGAGACTCATCTCGTCACAATTAGAAACCTGTTGCAGCAGGTAACCCTCAGAATCTACGAGCTTCTTGAAGTCGCCAATGAAGTTCTCTGCTGCCTTTGTGTTGGGGTTGCTGCTTCACCATGCCTTACAATGCTGTGGATGCCGGTTCTTCTCTTAAACCATTCGAACCACCCACGGCTTCCCTTAAATACTTCTTCTTCGGCCGTTGATGAACCTGACGTCTTTTTAACAAGGTCGGCGAAAATCATTTTCACCTTCTCACAAATGATGTTCTCGTTAATAGTGTCACCTTGCAATTGCTTTTCATTTGTCCATATGAGGAGCAACCTTTCAACATCGTCAATAATATGTAACCGGTGCATAGATATTCTTGTCACTCCCTTTGAAGCATCTGTCTCCTTAATCTTGTCCTTGTTCTTGAGGATAGTGCAAATCGTTGATGTAGACCGATTGTATGTGCGTGCTAGATCAGCCACGCTCACACCTCGTTCTCGCTTTTCAATGATTTTACGTTTCATTTCTACGGTTATTTTTATTCTCTTATGGCTGTCTTTTTGCGGCTTTTTTTCTCGGGGGCATTTCTGCAAGGGTTATTAAACTTTACACACAAAAAATAGCACAAATAATATGTCTGAACACAAGTTTGGAAAAATGTGTGATCACAAACGACACTAAGATACTAGCAGATGCAGAAGCTACGATGCCCTACCACTTAACAGTGCACAGTGAAATAGCTCTATCTCGGGAAACGTTTAGAAGAGGACACATGTACATATACACTTTTTTGCTTAGAATAGCCGATACTATGGCCTCCCAGAATATTAACCTTTCCTCCTTGGGCACCCTGTATAATTGATGTATGATCCTTCAGAAAAGCTGCATGTGACAATGACTGCTATCTGATGGTTGGAAAAGTTAGGGACTCACTATCAGTAAGTACAAATGAGCAATAAGAAAGTTTGATCTGGGAAGATTTCATCTCAACAGCTTAAATTATGTGGAAGTTTTCCTGAGTCACAATGCTGCATAGTTATGAGAGAGTCTGACGTTTCTGAGAAACCTACTGCCTCCATCTTCAGTGTCAAGAGCAAGACAAGCAAGAAACCAGCAGATCAGGGGGCAAGTGACAAAATATAATATGCATACTCATCTTGGCTTCTGCCATTATTAAAACCTGCAGCAAGGGGTGGAGGAATTGGAGTAGGCAAGTATAACACACTTCTATTAAGAATTTTTACTATTTCCACTCATAATAACAGATGAAGCAATATGTGTACTTTATTCATAACATAGAATATATATTATTAAAATATGTTTGTTTTCTCATCTTATGAACTGTCAAAAGTATGTCCAAACTCAAAGCACACAAGTCTGATACCCTCCATAACCCAGGAGTATTAAGGAATTACTACCACGAACCACAACATGGCAAGCAGAAATGCTAGCCTATGCTGCAAGAGGCTTGAAGGGATTTATGAATTCCTTGTTAATTTCTGGCTTATTACTTGAGCCATTCAAAACCTTCTTAACACACATTTATAGCACAGTATGATGAACCATCCATTATGTAGTTCTATATATCTGAATAATACATATACATACACAGCCCTGCTTCATTTAGTTTAAAATTATTTGAGAATAAAAAAAAGAAAATACAGCTTGCTCATTCAAGCCCCATGTTAACAAGTTGGAAGCACACCCCTGCTGTAATGGCTATTCTATACAGAAACCACACCCCTCTCCACAGACACATGCAATGTTTCTTTCATTGTGGCAGTTCACATACACTGATATTTCAGAAGAAGAAAGCTATGGAATTTGTGTGTATAAAATACAGGAACATATATAATATTCTAGTCACACAGACTAGGCTTAATTTCATACAATACATACTTTTTAAAATGGTCTCCTAAAAGTACACAGTCCTCAAAAATTGTCTAACTTAGTCAAACATTCCTTTTATTCAGTTTTAAATAATTTAAATCTAAGTTTTCAAAATATAATTTGGGCATAATCTGACGTTGTAAGCAATATGCATGTAACCCTGATTGTGTCATGAACTTGGGACGAAATATATACAGCTTATTTCAATATAAATATGAAACAAATGTATTCAACGACCTAATTATTTATAAATCAACAAATTCATACAATGGACATGAAAACATTAAATCTGTTTACAAATTCATGACAACAGATTTCTTCCTCTTTGTACCTCATGCTGGTATAATACAGACTACACCATAATGTCAGCCCACAGACAGAAAGTCGACAACAGTAACATAAATCCCATGAATTATAAACTGACAACAAATGAGTGATTGACAGTAGAATTAATTCATCGGCTCTTTAATGTCAAATATGCCACAGAGACTTCCTTCTGCCCATCTGTAGCAGACAGGAAATAATACACTTTGACTTCTTTGACACGACATATCGAAACAACAAAAAAAAAAAAAAAACATTACAATTACCTTCTGTTATGCAATAAGCGCAACTCATTACTTTTGCTTTCATTCTATATTTCACACTAATATACACCGTCAACGTTACAAACACTGCTTTCTAACAATGCATTCGAATTTACAGACGATATTTTTATTTCCGACAAACTGCTGTTAACTACACTGCAAAGTTCCTCGTCTCACCTTCACGACCTACTTTTGAAAAAATCGTCACTTTCTCATACAGACATTTCTATTTGATCGTGACATGACAGATGTTTTTAATATCTCTAGGAAAATGCCTTGTCCATTTAAAACGAATACGTACCATGAAGCGAGACAACAAACTGAGTATACTGGCACCGCTTTTCTTGCCAAGTTTACACATAAACAACAACAGCCGCTAACGTAAAGTGAATCTCAAGGTTATACCATCTCATAGGCATATAAGCCTACCACATCGTCAGTTTCGCGACGGGATTTCTAAATGAAATTTTAATGCACAGTGAGAAAATCAAGCACTTTTACAATCAGTAGCCTTCAAATGACGAATACGAAGTAAGCATTTTCTGCATTACTTCGTATTACAGACATAATAATACAAAATACTCACGGACTTCTTCACCGCTTCACTCGCCATAATATCACCACATAATGATGTGACGTCACGTTTCAGTCAATCGACATTCCTAGACTTGGCAACACGCCGTCTATGTTAAAAACTGCACTTCTTCGCAGACATGTCATTCACTTGCACTTAGTCTTGAGTAATGACCACATTCTAGAGTATTTTATGTCATTAACATTAATAATAATGTATCTTTTGTTTTAAAATGTCACGACCATTAAGTCTCAGCTACCGTGCATGATCAGCTGGTGCTCTGGGTGCCACCCAATCAAGGAAGTTTCATTTGCCGGCAACAATTTGCAGGTGCTAATATTCGCGACTGAATTATTTCCTTAGTCAAGACCTCATGAATTCTCATAGAAACATTTATACTGTCCTCATGACTAACTAATTTTATTATGTTATCATTCTGAATTAATTCTGCAAACTTTGGGGTTAGATATCCAAAGATATGGGGGTTACTTTTAGTCTGTGACCTGTCAATGTATACAATTCTATGGCACAAAAAGTCCGCATTGCAACAAATCCCAATGTTTCAGATATATGGCGCGACCTTCAAAAATGAAAGATGGCATGACGCGGAGGGAAACTGACGCCTAGCGCATGCCACCCGCATAACACATTTTGTAAAACGCAGTAGAAACTTCGCTAACTTAAACAAGAGTACTATGTTTTGGAATGTGGTGTCGTGTAGTCCGGTAGTTGTTGCACGATTCGGAGAAACTAACTGCTTCCATCTTCAGGTTGAAGAGTGAACCAAGGAAACAGCAAGCTGGGTCAAAATGTTATTGAGCTATCAGGCTACACGGCGTCACATTCATAATCACCTATGCCAGAATTTTAATTCCAACTTGGGTTATGACACTATGTAGTCTCATAGGCAACCAACATTTTGGAGGAATTGATTGCCTCTGCCTTCGGCTTAGAAATAATCTTCACCTCACAGAAATGATCACCACAGAACATTTCATTGAACAGAATTAGGTCATACATTTACAGAACACTATACGAAACCCTCTAACATAGTGTAGTTTCGATCCAGGCATAATGTAAGAGTTTGGCCCTACATAATTATACCTCCAAACCCCTTGTAACATCAATCCTATCTTCACATCTGTTAGAATAATTTAAATTGAAAGAACATTTCCATACTCATTTCATTTTATAAAAGTAACAATCACCTGGCAAATATGAAAGTGTTTAATGAATGTCATGATGCAATAGAATATATCAATGTATATCAATGTGGAAAGCAAATGGAAAAACTACCAAATTATCACTTTTCCTGGATAGTCTCTTTCCAAAAACAGAGGATCGCATTAAGTGGAGGAACTGTTTTGGAAGAGACTGTGGACCTGTCGTCTGACAGATTACTGAAGAATGAATGAAATATAAGCAACAAAATGTATACGTATAGTTAAATGTGTATTGCCTGTAGGTAAAATGGGAAGGTCACTGAGGCACAGCTGAATTGTCACCAACTCATAACGCCTGTGTCCCTAATGAAACTTGCATTCTTCAGATTGTGCTTGGCTTGATCAGGAAAACAGATTTGTATGAATTGATTTTTAAGAAATGGCGCTTTCCAATCATGATCAAACAACTAAGATATCATTATGAGTATATTAAATTTCTTGTAGGCACTCCAAAACCCTTTCAAGTGCATAAAGATTCATGAGGGCTCAAGGTTGATGATCTGTGTCTGATTGCTGTATGTAAGGAAAGGGGAAGCAGGTAGTAATGGGAGAGACACACATCAGAGATATAAGACAGTGTTATAGAATAACAAACATTTTATTTATACTCATCTTACAACAGTTAGCATGTTCTCTTCTGATAAAGAGTGTGAAGAACTACCTCACTAATTTTGTTTTCAAGTTAGGTGATTATTCTACAGTGAATGTGGAATCGAAGATGTACACACAGCAGTCACAGAAATTTCAATCTTGTTTAGCACTTTACACAGTTAAAATGTTGAGAGATAAAATCTGTATGTGAACACACTCTCGAGGGGAAAAAAGTTACTGTCTTGTTAGTTTTTAAAACTCAAGAAAATAATACCATAATCAGTTCCACGGTGTCTAGTTTAAATTGTCCGCAAACATGTGTTAGGGTGCCAATGGAAGCACAGAATCTATTATAAAACACTGCAAAATTATTTGTACGTGTAAATATATTTTGTACACAAAACAAAATATCATGGAATGGGGCTCAATATAAAAGAGAAATACAGGGTAGTAATATATATATATATATTACTTCTAAATTCCCTCTATAAAACTCTTTTAATATTGCATGATTTGGGACCTATGACAAAATTTTCCATACAGTTCAAAGTAAGTCAATTTACATCAAAAAAAGAAATTACTTCTTAAATTTCTCTGTATACTGATCAGTCATGTTACTACATACACATCACGAAGCATTAATAAGAACAATTAAATACATGGGCCATTTTATTTTTTCATTAACCTATGTTCATGATCCTGGAACGATATTCTTAATACAACAGCAAATATTCACATATGCACAAATATACAAATGAATGTTTCAGGTTTAGATAGGGCTACACCAAAACATGAACATACATGAATATTATTCACAGTTGCAGAGAGCCTAAGTACATGCACAGTAGAAAAATTAAAGCACACAATATTTTATTCCTTTCAAAAAAACAATGGAGATTCTATACAATATCCAAAATTGTCCTTTGCCAGCCACTATCTTCAATGGAACCCTGCTGTCCTTTAATATGGACTTTGATATAAATTACCGCATTCACTACCATATTTATGGACAATATAAATGCGAGTCTTATGTACAAAAACTGAAAGATGCAAAGTTGAAGAATGGATGATAAATTCAGAAGCACTTCCAAATAAACCAAGAGCTAGCACTCTCAATTTGGATATTGGAACACAGCCCAAATATCACTTCTTATTGCTTGCTGTCTCCAGAAAATGTACGCACAAAAGTTTTGGCACCAATATAGATATGCTATCATCAATATAGCCACCTTAATAATGTCTGAAAATGTGTTCAGTTAGTGAACACTGATAATATTAAAAATAAACTAATCTGCTGCTTCACTGGTTTCAAGTCTTCAGCAATTTACATACAGGATTAAGCGTGAAACTTACAAAATTTATATTCTCCACAGTGTTATATTGTTGACAGTTGGTATTTACAGCTAATGAGTAATAATTTAGGTACCAACAATTCAGAACTTACCAATACTAAGGTGTAGTTCTTTTAACATATGACTGATGCTTATGTATAAAATCTAAGCTTACTCAAAAATCCAAAAACATATGAAGCTTTATCAGTTAACATTTTACAGTGATGATGAGGATAATGATAATAATGGATATCTTTTTCTCGAATAAAGGCTCATTCTGTTAAGTGACTTTAAAAAATGCCAGTTTCAAAATGTTAGCAGTAATCAAACAAAATTATTGCTGAAATAACTGAATATGACATTACTATGTCTTCCCACAAATGTATGCATGGCTATTCAGGTGTCCAAGTGTAAACAACATGATAATAATTTAAAAACACATTTCTGAACATTTTCCAGTTGACACAGTCCTCAGTATCAGAAACTTCATGTACCCCTTTTCAGTGGTGGCTTTATTTTGACCTCAAGCTTCGTGTTATTTTGTGCTACCAACATAACACAACAGAGACTTCTTAATTTTCAACAAACTTTATTTATTGTATGCAACTAAGTTTGTGCAAAAGGAAGTTATCTGGACTTTCTGAAGCCATTTTAACTTGTGTGTGACAATGTATGAAATATATACCAGATACCCTCTTTTGAAGTTTCATGTTGCCCCTGGGTGTATATGTATCCTGCGCTCAGAATGGCTGACTTAAGTCGCTATCAATGTCACCAGTTTCTTCCTCCCAGGACAGATCTAGCTGCTGTATAATGCTTGCTCATTTGCATTACCTAACTCTTTCCTCCAACTGACAGCAGCACTGTCTGGGGACATATTTTACAGCACAAAAGGGAATTCGTAGTCTCTGTTATTTGAAGCACACCATTACAGAGACACCCTCATGTAAAGCCTTTTTGGGGAGCAGTTGATTTGAACACTAAACTGAGGAAAATTGTAAATGGATGAAGTTTAATATTAAGTATATAAACTTGTGACTACTGAAAATGAAAAATCAACAGGGGCTGCAATGTAATGGGTCATCGTGGTCAAAGAATAATGTCAGCATACCAGGGCAAGAGAAGAAAGCTAAAGGTTCACCTTCTATTGAATAACAGCATTAAATGGCTAAGTAATATAAAAAGGGATTACCTTGTTTCTGGTTTTTGTCCATTGTCTAGTATTCTGAAAGAGCATTCTAGTGCAATATATCATCATCAAAATCTTCTAAAATTTAAATTATACAACAATTAAGTTTCTAACAGCTAAGTTTTTATGATTTTTGTCTCAAGCTAGATCTAAGTGTTTCTGATGATGGTGTCCAACTTTTAATGATACAAAAATAGAGTTAAGCAAAGCTATTCCTGTAACAGGCCATGGAGGCTTATAGGGTTGGGAGACATCAAGGATTCCATATTTTCTAGACAATCGGCTCTCACAGATGGCAGTGAGACCACCAACCTCGTGCCCCAGCCACCTTTGACCCCAGGAAAATTCATGGTACTCATTTCTGTTAGAGGCTGAGTTGGCATCAGGGCCATAATGCAGCTGGAAGGCTTAGGTCAACTGAAATATCCAATGACCTCATAGGGAATTGAACCCATGAACTTCCAGCTTGTAGCACAGTGCCTCAACCAGCTATGCTACTGCGTGCACATTAAAAACTATACTGTACATAAACTGTTTCAGTTTTCACCATAACCTTTTTTAAACAATTGTTTTTAATTCAATAAATAGTTAGCTACTGTGTGCCCCAGTGTGTTACTATAAAAATGGCTATTACTTTAGACACTGTCTATTGTCTAGATATTTTTTTAAACATTTCGGAAACTGAATCCATTACTCTCCATCAGGTGTATAACAGAAAAGATCCACCCAGTTTGGCTCATCAGGAAGGTCAGTTTCAATAACTTGACTCAATGCTCTCAGAAAAAACTCAAGATGCCCGACATGTCCAAAATACTTTAAACTTATTGTTTGTAGTATTGCTATTGTAGAACATTTATGATTCAAAATGCTTCCTAAATTCTTCCACAGATGGCACAATATGGTACTTTAACAGTCAGCACTCACCTAGCCCAGTGTCTCAATGGTATATAGTCCCACACAGCAATGTAAAGGTTAAAACAAGTAAAAGGAAATACGGATGTGAAGTATATGGCCAAATGTGTATGGTGATTATTACAGATTCTACTTTAGCACAGTCAGTATAGCGACTGGCTATGGGCTGAGAGACCAAGGGGTCAGAGTTTGAGTCCCGATAGGGTCAAGAATTTTCACTTCTACAATTGTCCAGACCGGCTCTGGGGTCCACCCAACATGCTATACAATGGGTACTGGGGGTTTTTTCCCAGGAGTAAAGCGACTGGGGCCAACTAGTGTCAAGGTCAAGAAAATGTGGATCTATAAATCCACTCCCCCATACGTCTTCTAACTTTTTCTTTGGTGCGTGTGCGCGCGCATGTTAGAGAGAGGGGGGGCTGAGTTTCTCACAGCACAAAAATTACTGTCCGTGGGAATGTGACATCACATATTCGGAAGATGTACCAGTGTCCTGAGAGAACATGATGCTTCCATCTTCAGGGTAGTAATGGAAAGTATGTGACATGACAGGAAGAGTTGGGAAGCCATGCTGTCCCTGTCCCTCTATCTGCACATTTTTCCATGTTCAGCTCACTTTTCTACCCTGACAATACAGACCAAAAACTCCTCCCAAACACTATCAAACACCTACCAGAACACATGATGTCACATCCCAAAAGAAGTATTCTTTGTTTCTTTGGTAACTCACTGTGTAAAGCTAACATAATATCTTGATTTTTGGTGGTATATTATTTATTGACATTTTATCAACTGCAGAGGCTATGTGTCATCAGACTAATACGAATGGGAATTCTGAAGAGGTGGGCACCACATTATGACGTCTTTCACAGAGGAGGGGAGATAAGAGAAAAAACAAAACACCAACAGCAGCAGTTAGGGAAGTCAGTTTTGCCTGAGATCAATAACTCCCAAGCACTAGCAGAACTGCAAGGTTTGGTGATAATGCATCATCACAATCCTGTCCAAGCACAATCTGAAATGATCAGTCAGGAACCACTGACACCCCCAGAGGGTTGCAACTATTTCTTGGTTAGGAACCATGACACAGCAATATTCTGGCAAACCACTATTTTCAAATTTCACCACCTTCATTCTTCCATACATAAAACGAAAGCATAAAAAAGTAAAACTTTTTGACTGGGTTCATAACCTAATAATTTAGTTTTTCATAGTAGTTTTAAAATGTGAGATTTTAGATCCTAATTTTGGCATCAGAATTACGGCCTTCTGTGATGTGATGTCAAATAGTTTTGAAATACTGCTATATATATCATATGACAGAGTGATTCAAAAGTCACAAAACTCTGACAGCATTGTTACTGTAATGTGACATATGTTAAAAATGTAGTCTTATGTGGGACACAGACCTGGGATGTGTCTCCTGGAACTGTCTCTGAATAAGTGCCTATGAATAGTGAAGCACTATGCTTGGGAGGATGTGATGCTGCAGTGACTGAAAATTATATAATAGTGGCACAGGATGACCATCTCTCAAAATTCCACCAAAGGTTGTGAGCAATTGGGGTTGATCAGAGTGCCAGCTGTTGCACACACACAATCATAATCCATCATCTTGTTGCATATTACTGAACACGAAACGCTGGACTGCATAACTTTCAAATAAGCATGTACCTGAGGTCACATCCCAGGAGACTGCAATCTTCTTGATTTTAGTAGCGATCTCAAAGTATGCTGCAGGACTCTGAACGTGCATTTGTACTACTCATATGTTCTACAGGACCGTGGTTGAATGACCACGGACACCCCATTCAGCATCAATCAGGAAAACCTCAAACAATATTTGCATGCACAATTTCAAAATTATAAATTCAGTAGATGTCTTTAAATTTTCAATAACATTTACAAATGACCCATCTAGTTCATGGGCACAAATGTGACATTTCTCTCTAAGCTACAATGACAATGTAATTAGCTGTTTTTGTTTTGCACTATTTCCACATAAAAATAGGTTAATTTATTTATTATATCTAAAGTATAAAGCTTATATGTATGTGGAGTCCCAAGTGAGTAAGATATTTTAAGAGATGAATGTTCTTAAAATAAGAAATCTCTATAAATGAACAGTCATTCTCTCTATGGAGCACCGCTGTCATAGGTCCAGTCTAGATTCTAAGTTATTTATTTTGCAAGGATTTGAAATGTTCTATGCGATGCATGATATGTCTAGGCTGAAATGTATTCATATGTACAGTATATGAAAATGATGGTAACATGTTCAGTTGCATTCTTAGATATAACTGAAAATCTGAAATAAAATTCAATCAACAGAGGACAGTATAAGATGCGAAAACTGTTACTTATCTTCAAGGAAACTCTGTGTCATATCAAAATGTGTCAATCGGACTTTTTTTTTTTTTTTTGGAAAAGCAGTAACATTACTGGAATCATTAACTCAGATAATTCAATGGTTATACTTTACTACAGTGCTTTAAGATGTAATGTTCAATCTCCAGAACTCTAAAACAGGGGCAACCAACTACCAGATTACACAGTCTCATAACCCGACCAAAACATAAATTTCAGTCTCTAATTTCTGAAAGTATATATTTATTTCCCAGTCATCTTTGGCTGTCTCAGTAGGAATTTTATTTTCATTTTCCTTAAGTTGTTTCATAAACATTTCATACCTGCCACTTAATTGTACTTTTATTTTTCTACTTGTATTTCAAAGTTTTAACACTGTATACAAATATTAATAATAACATGAGATTTGAGATTCTCTCTCTCTTGAGTGATGTGATGTAACAATTTACTGGATCGCATGGCATCATATCCCACAAGACAATAACCTTTACACTCACCACCGTGAGATCGTACAAACTCACAGAAAAAATGAAGCTAATACTGCCTTTTGCAGACACAGACACTTTTGTCAATGAGTTTCACCCAATATGAAATTTTAGGTTTTTACATTCAGAATGAGATGGCTAACCTGAAGATGGAAGCAGTATGTTTCTCTGAAATTGACTATATGGTGTCAAAGACCATAATCCATTTTATTTTATTTACACAAGAACTTTTCTAGCATTGTACTTGAAGAATACTTAACAGTTACTAATATAAATATATGAAGAAGTTTAAATTGTGGAAATTTTAAAGTAAATTTATGAAGGATCCACGAAATCAATCCCAACTGGTCTATCTTCTATACAAGCTGAAAATACTGACCCAAGAGTGCAACTAACATACATTCAGAAAGTCACAAATTTGTGGTACTTTTAAATCTGCACATCAATTGTGACATGTCTTCACACCATTTCTGTATTTGATTTGAAGAGTGACTGTTTTGTTTCTTAATATATAATGAGAAGGTAATTAAGTTTCAAATACAACCTCATTTCAAGCCAATACTGCATCATAAGAATTTTCCTATATGTACAGGACTAAAATATTAATATTAAGAAATCAGAGTGAACATTTTCAAATATGTAAATTCTCAAACAGAAGCCCAAGATACCTCAGTCAGTACAGTGACTGACTATGAGCCCGACGACGAGGGTTCGATTCCTGCAGGGGCACACCATTTTCTTCACTAATGTGTCCACATCAGTTCTTGGGCTCACTGAGCCTAAATTCCGACATGTAACAGGAAATAGTTCAATGTGGGTGAAGTGACCATTGTGTGAAGCTGACCACTCATTTCGTTCTAGTGTCAACGTTAAGAATATGTGGAGTTACACTTCCACTGCCCCCCATCATATGGTAATTCATTCAGCACAGGGGAAACTTACTGATGTGTAGTGTTAGTTCCTAGTTTCTTACAAACAATTTTGCTTCCAATCTTCCAGAGTGACAAACTTTGTACCAAATTCCCAGGACAGGGAAATGACAAGCTGCATCTAGGAAGTAAATCTTGAGATAATTGAAAATAATCAAGGTAAAAACAACAAATAAAAGTGTACAAATTAAATGTTTCAAGGAATGTGCAATATAATTCAAATAAATCTTTTGCTCACTTAACTGGATTGGTTTCAGACACGTTTTCTACTCCAATCTGCCAAACAAATGAGTTCAAGTGGTGACTTGTATATGGAAAATGACCTGTTTGCATATCAGCCACAACAATGACTATCCCAACTGAGACCTCAGACCCTCTGGCAAATGTCATAATAATATCTCAAATTAGGCTATGATCGCTTCCCCCCACATATTTTCCAGATTTTCATTCATTAAACATCCTCTCATCAAATGTAATTACTTACAAAAACAAACAAGGAAGAAACCATGGCTTGAGTCCACAAGCGAACTATATAGACCGAGAGACCGGTGAAGTTAGTGAAGATGTAATTATTTACAGATTTTTAAAATAGACCACAAATAAATAAATAAGTAACATATTCCAGTCTACATAAATGATTACTTCTGTTATAAGCATATTACAGTGTTTTAGTATCTTTCACATTTTAGACGAATTTGGTAGAACCCGCAGTGTCTTGTACGGTGTCAAGGAAAGGTTTTGAAAAAGATGAAGACATAGTATTCCAGAATTTATATTTTATAATATTTATCAAATATACATCTGTCATCATGGAAGAAGTATGAGAAGGTCTGCAAAGATACTAACTCCATGGAGCTCAAGCCTTCTTCAGAAGCTAATGATCATTCAACAACTCAAGAAGTTCCACACCTTTTATAGAACCCAAATGTTCATTATTATGTTCACAACAGCCTGCTACTGGTCTATGTCTTCAGCCAGATCAATCGAGCCCTAACCTTCATACCCTACTTGTTGTATAAGATCTATTTTATTAATACTATCCTCCCATTTGAGCCTAAGTCTTAAAACTGAAATCTTTCATTAAAGAATTCAAACCAAAATGTTGTATGCATGTTTTATTTCGCTAATATGTCCTACATGTCCTGCCCCACCTCTTCTCCATTTGTGATCACTGGTGAAGATTACAGATAATGATGCAATTGTCTCCAGTCCCCTCTTACTTCATCCTTCTTGGGTCCACATATTCTCTGCAGCACCCTTTTCTCAAACACCATCAGTCTTTGCAAAACTGTTAACACCTTATTACCTTTTGTTTTGCTGTGGGATGATTGATGATGACGATGATAGCATACCCCTTGAAATGGTCATACAATTGCACACTGAACTTAGGTCAGGATGACAGAATTCATACCCTGTTTTTTCAGATCTTTCATCAATTATTATTCACAATAGGAAAAGTGTGATGCAAACTCACATTCAACATACAGCAAATGCGACACATTTCTTTATAAACACAGTGATCATTATGTGGTATACAGTGTTTCTTCAACTTGCATGTTTCGAAAAGTTTTGAACTAGTTCTCTTTCAGTTGTCATTATAATGAAAACAAGAGTTAAAAGCTTCAGGAGTCACATTAACTTGAATATACATGCATTCTTTGGCTTCTGGTGATTTTGAAAGCATTCCAAATTTCAGAAGAGGAAATAAACAGAGAGATTAATGGGCAAACAAAATACAGTTTTAAATTTTTATCACATTATAAAAGGAATGTCACAGAACAGAGAGATCCCAATACAATGCAAAATAACAATCTATAAGGCATACTTTAAACTAATAAAAATGTATGAAAGTGATGCATGGATCCATGAGAGAGCAATAAAATTATAGACTTCAGCATGGCAAAAAGGAAACTACAACAAGAACTTAAAGCAAAGAATCCTATGGGATGTTCCACAACAAAACAGTTTGGCCAGGTACTGGAAGACATGATGAAGGGAGGACAGATCTGGAAAGACAGAAAGAAAGGATTATGGGAGTTTGGAAACTATTTGTTCAACCCATACAAAAACGGAAATGATGCCAGGAGAAGAAAATTGATATTCTTTGGCTTTCTAACATTATCTGAACAATCTTCCACCCCAGAAATTCTTTCATCCCTTCATGAAATGAATGTATTTAAGAAACTAATTACTTCCGAAGCTATTTACATCAAAGAACTTTCACCCTTTCCAAATACAGGAATGTCAGTTGCCACTTTTTCTACAAACCTTCATTTTTATTATATCTCTGTGGACAGAAATGCTCTGGGAGATCTTGAGGAACTCTGAAGATGGTCACAAAAGCGAAGCTGCTGAATCCAGTAATGTTACGTACCAAGTGCCATTAGTTTCTTGAATGCTTTGCGAAATTCTGGGTTAAATATGGTATAGATGACAGGGTTCACAAAACTGTTCATATATCCTAGCCACGTTGTCAAGATGAAAGCTGTGACACCTGGTGAGCAGTCTAATGATAATTTGGTGCACATTGCGTCCAGAATGTTGCAAGTGAAGAATGGCACCCAGCAAATCAGGAACACGCCTGCAACATTAGAATGTTTGGAAGTTATCCGACAATTGACTCTCTTACTATCCCGATCAAGTCAAGGAGGATGTGCTGGGCTGGGCATGTAGCATGAACAGGGGAGAAGAGGAATGCATAAAGGATATTGGTGGGAAGGAGACCACTAGGAAGACCAAGGCATCGGTGGGTGGACAATATTAAAATGGATCTTAGAGAGATAGGATGGAAAGGTATGGATTGGATTGATCCGGCTCATGATAGGGACCAGTGGAGGGCTCTTGTGAACATGGTAATCAACCTTCGGGTTCCATAAAAAGTTGGGAAGCTTTTGAGTAGGTCCACAGATGGTGGCTTTTGAAGAAGGGCTGAGCTCCATGAGTGAGAGTGAGAGTTACTATTCCAAAGATGTATGGGGGGACCAAAAATTGTGGCTTTTAGACAAGATACACTGTCTTGGACCATAAAAACAGTAAAGAAATGTGAGGCAATTACAAACGCCACAAACAACAGAATTTATAATATTAAGCTCAGTCTACTTAGTTGCATCTTCTTATACTGCCTCAGCAACATTTCTGCCATTACAGTGTCCATGACATGAGAATGATGGCATAGTTGTAACACTTTAGACTCATATTTGGGAGTGCTTGGTTAAAATTCATCTATGGAGGGAAATGGTGGGATAGTACCTCAACCAGGCCATGACTTGCATCCTTTCCAATTCACCATTCATCAAACATGCTACCATTTAACGCTTATATAGTCTAGACAGTGACAGCATCATAAAATTAAAAAGAAAAAAAAATTGTGGTGCAGCTTGATAGCAGTGAAAGGCTATTTCTTCATTACATTTAATTTTTCCAGAAATAATCCCAGTCCAATGTATTTGCATACATCCTAAAACCCACCAGCCACAGTTAGTTGAATAAACTTGAAAAATGCTTACCCAAAACAATAGCGAGGGTTTTGGTAGCTTTTCGTTCTTTCTTAGCTGATGATTTCTCCCGTTTCTTGCGACTCGCTTTGTTCACTTTGTAGATTGTGAATCTGGAACTGGTTGTACTTTTACGTTCCTTCTTGGAGCCAGTCACCCCGGTGCTAGGAGTTTCCTCCTCTGGAAGTTCAACTTCTGTGCAAGTGCGAACGGATGTTGTACCCTTCTGCACCGGGCTATTTGTCTGCTGATCGTTGACAGCAGCTGCTCCATTCCGACGAACCTGCGACTTTGGAGTAAGAAAACATAATAAAATATATATCAAACACACCCATGACAATACACAATCTCCAACATAATTAATATTCAAGATTTGAGGCAATAACAACAGCAAATATTAAAATTACAGTCTTCTCAGATGTCGCAGGCTGAAGGAAGGTACTAGTGTTTTGGAGCAACCTCTTTCTCCGTTTTCAAGATTGCCCAGACAGGATATCCAGCATCAATCACATCCCAGAAAAACCATAATCTTAAAATAATATTACACGTATATGGAATCAGCCATTATCAGAAACTTTCAGAGGATCACTATTATCATGTTCTCTATACAATTTATACAACCTCACAAATTGTAAACCTGATATTTCAATTACCTCTTCGTTTCGAATGTTCTGAAATGAATACACCACAAATTAAGGTTAAAATTATATTGGTGAATAAGTACATATTGCTTCAATTCGCTTTTACTTACTTCATTTGTATATAAAGTAGTCTCAAACTGCTTAAGAATTGAAATTAAAATAAATATCTGCAAACGTATTAAATAATTCCATTTATTTTGGAATCCTCTTCATTATGAACCCTGCACAATGTGTGCTGCTTTCATGCGATACACTTTCATATTCTCCGGTAGAAGTGGTACACAACGTTCCATAGATGGCAGTAGAAACCATGGGACTACTAGTGTCATCTATACACTATTTTACCATACTTAGAACTACTTTGTCACAAGGATCACAAGACGGAAGCCAAAAGTGGGAGGGGGGGCAGTAGGCTATAGAGTGATGGGTTAATGTCTTAGCTGTCACACAAATAATATGGATGCCGGATCCTGGTTATCAATATGTGGAATAAATAACTCCTACAAAATCATACCCAGCATATGATAAATTATATGTGGAATACTTGCTACTATTCGGTTCAGGATGCTCTGTCTTGCTATCAGCAAACTAACACATGAAGATTAAGATGCACAGAACTATAATTTTGCCTGTAGCTTTGTATGGGTATGAAACTTGATCTCTCACATCAAGGGAAGAACACAGACTGTGAATGTTTGCGAGCAGGGTGCTGAGCAGAATATTTGGACCTAAGGGTGAGGAATTGACAAGAAGCTTGAGAAAATTACATAATGAAGAGCTTCATAATTTGTACTCCTCGACAAAGGTTTGCATGATCAAATAACATAGGATGAAATGGGCAGTGCATGTAACATGCATGGGAGGAAAGAAAGGTGCATATGAAGTCTAATCAGGAAAACCTGAAGGAATGTGGGAACTGAGAAGAGCTGGGTGTAGATGGGAGTACAATATTAACATGGACCTTACAGAAATGCAATGGGAAGGTGTGGACTGGATTCATCTGATTCAGGTCAGGGATAAGTAGTAGGCTGTTGTGAGCATGGTAATTAATGAACTTGCAGGTTATGTGAAATTCTAGGAATTTTTTAGGTAGCTGAACAAATCTTAAATCCTCAAGGAAAACTTAAGCTTCATGGAGCTGATGGGCTACTTATGTACCACAATTTGTTACACTTACGGCTTCTTTGAGAATGGAAGTAGCCCTTCTTAGCCTGCCATATAACCCACCTAAATTGTTTTAATGCTATGTACAAAATATATGTACACAGCCATAATAAGGATTCATTCATCAGTAATCTGTCAAGACAACAGGCCCACAGTCTCTTCCAAAACAGTTCCTCCACTTAATGCGATCTAGAGCTTTCTCCTTCAAATAAGAATATCCTCTTCTGTCCCCAAGGTCATCCAGCATCTTCTTACGTCTTCTTCTTCGTCTTCTTGTCACTTCTATCTGCCCCTCTATCTTTCCTTCAATAACTTCTTTTAGAAGGCAGTTTCTACGTAAAACATGACCAATCTAATTAGCCTTCCGTTTTCTTATTTCATGTAGGATATTCCTCTGCTCACTGACTCTAATTAACACTTCTTCATTTCTCACATAATCGGTCCAACTGATCTTCTCCATCCTTCTCCAACACCACATTTCGAAGCTTTCCAGGTGTTTCTGATCTACTGCCCTAAATGTCCAAATTTCAGCCCCATACAAAGCCATGCTCCAAATGTAGCATTTCACTAGTTTCTTTCTCAAATTTAAGTCCAATTTGCAGGTAAAAAGATTCTTCTTGCTAAATGCAGCTTTTTCCATGGCAATCCTAGATTTAATTTCACAAGTACACCTTCCATCATCTGTTAACAAGCTACCCAAATATTTAAAACATTTCACATTCTCCAGTTGTTTTTGGTCTATCTTTATTGTGACTGGGGTTGGTTGTCTCGAAATTTTCATTACTTTTGTTTTCTCCACATTCATTTCCATGCCATAGCACCTTCCAATTTC